TAAAATTATTTTTAGGATGATGATAATATCATCCTCATCTTAGAAGTGCAGAACTGGAAGGGACCCATCGAGTCCAGCACAATGGAGAAGTGAACTCCCAGCCTCTGGCTCCACAGCCAGATACCTAATTCACTTAGTTTGTATTCTTATGTTTTAAGTCAGGATGTTTCCAAACTTGTGTGCATTAAGAATCAACAGAGGTGTCCTGGAGCTTGAAACACAATGGTGGCATTTGTGAAAATTATTAATACAGTGGTGCCTCGACTTACGCCCATCTTCTGGAACGGATTATGGTTGTAACTCGAAATGGTCATAAATTGAAGCACCATTAAAAAAACAAAAACAAAAAAAAAACCCCAATCGGAAGGCGATGGGGCTGAAAAATAATCCAAAACCCTGACCACAATATTTAAAGAGCCACAATATTTCCCCCTTTTTATTGCTATCTTTTCCAAGGGATCTTTATTTTCAAAGTTTTCTTTAGTTCTACATTTGAAAAGGAATTTTTTTCTACTAGAGACCCTAAAAATGTAATAATAAACTTTTAATATTGTATCTATGCAGTTGTTTTTAACATACACACTAAGTCGTATAGTGTGGAAAAATATTAATACAAAACAATATTAAGCTTGTGCAAATAGTCATTCACAAGATATCCTTAAGTTACTGTATATATAACTTCTAGGTATATACAAACATAGATGTTACAGCAGTTCCTTAAGTAATGTATTTAGGAGAGGTATTCATTTTTAGTTAATTGTTCAATTAGTAAGGTAGACATTTTCCTTTACAGAAGAGATGTATTAGGAAGATTTCATGTGGTTATTTCTCTGTTGACACCTATGGCATTTCTGTATTGACAGCTAGAGAATTTTGAGAAGGCTAGGAATATTTCTTATGGGTACCTGTCATGGAATCTGTGATTGCAGGGAGGAATGCCATCAGTAATATTTGTTTGATGTGCTGTGTATTTCTTTGGGGTTGGATTAATTGTTCGGTCTATGAATTACTAAAGTTTTAGTGAACAAATCCTAACTAGGAATGCTTTAATACACTCCTCTTTCTGATAAGTGAATGTACTAGATTTTTGGTGAATTGAAAATATCCAGTTCAGACCCTACTTGTGTTCATATAAGCAGAGTCTAGTACTAATTCAAATGGTATTAATAATTCACACAATCTATTGCTTTGTTTAATAAGAATAATCATGTGTTCTCAAGTCAATTCTGATTTATAGTGACCCTTTTCGGGGTTTTCCAGGTAGAGAATATACTACGAAGTCGTTTACTATTCTTCTTCTTGGGTTGCCCGAGAACTGTGCAGCTTGCCCAAGGTAACACAGACCAGCTCTATTCAAAGGATGCACAGTGGGGAGTTAAACTTCCAGTCCTTGGCTTTGCAAGCAGATGCTTAAACCACTGAACTATCCAGTCAGTGTTGCTTTGTTTAGAATGTGGGAAAATTTAATAATTCAATCATGCAACTTTCTGTTTCACCTTGTAATTTGTATTGCTTCACAGCATTGAGTAATTTGCTCATCAGAAGCAGTCTGAAATGGAATGTGCTGTTGATCACATTTATTGTTAGTAGTTCTGCTTGGGATAGCTGGTTTAAACTACTATTCCAAAGTTTACTTACAGGAATGCCAGAACAGTATAGTCTAAACTGGGGGCGAGGAACTGGATTGCTTCCAAAGACTCCAGGACAAGTCGAAAATGTCATATTATGCCCGTGTGGCTTGTTTTAAATCTCTCTTTGTAGACGTTTCCAAAGAATCAAATTTAATTATTTATTCAGTCGTATCTGACCGTTGCCGATTTCATGAACCAACTGTCCGCGATTTCAAATCTTGTACAGCTTCTTTCAGGTGCTTTATATTTTGGCCAGTGTCTGCTTTGATTACATTCAGCCAACATGTTCTTTGGCATCCTTGTACTTTTACCACTTATCATTCCAAGCATAATGGCTTTCTCCAGTGATGTTGATCACATAACATGGCTGTAATAACTAAGTCTAAGTTTTGTTAATTTGCCTTCCAGCGACATGCCCAGTTTTATGCGCTTCAGCATTTCTTTATTAATTATCTTTGCAGTCCATGGAATGCACAAGAGCCTCCTCCAACACCGTAGCTCAAAATAATCAATTTTCCTTCTGTCCATCTTCTTCATGGTCCAACTTTTACAGCCATATGTAGTTATAGGGAATATGATGACGCAAACTAATCTGCACTTTGTCATTAAGCTAACATCCTTAGTTTTTCATGTTTGATTCATACTCATCACAACGTTTCCAATGAGTTATTGGCAAAAAAAAGCAGCAGAATAAAGCAAAGGATAATTTTGTGACACTTTAAAGACTGACAAATTTATTTCAGTGAGAGCTTTCAGGGATTAAAATCCACTTACTCAGATGCCAGGTCTGATGAATCTGAGAAACTGGATGTATGAAAGCTCGTGTGGAAACAAATCTAGTAGTCTTCAAGGTGCCAGAGCAATTTGCTTATTGGATTTTGCTTCTCTTTCATTTCTCTGTCTTTATGACCAAATGGTATTGGGCTATAGTGGAGAGGTTTTTGGGAGAGAGTCATTTGCTGTCATATGACAGTGCACAACTGCTTCTCTATCCTAAATAAATTGAGAAGTACAGTAACTGGGTAGCGGTGCTGGTAGGTTTGCTTATGCTATGTGGGACTGATAGGATTTTGATATTTTTATTGGGGAGTGGGGAGACATTTTCCCTTCCCCTGTCCTAATCAGAGTGGCAAGTATAAAAACTCAGTATAGAAAGGAACAGCTGCTTCATGCAACAGCTAAGGTGTATGGCTTGTTCCAACTATTAAGATAAATGGTGGTCAAAAAGACTCAGTCTTCACTTGGAAGAGTGGCTCTTTAATGTCCCCACTGAGCCAGCAGTTCCTTTAACAATTAGATTGGTAAAAGAATTGGCAGGCAACCGGAGGAGTGGTACCCCAACCACTATCTGAGTCCCAAATACGGTAGCTCTTTCTGAACCATTTCTAATTGAGAGTCAAGAAATAATGCTGTAGATTGTTCCATTGCTTCAGAGGTGGTGGCTGTTTCCTAAACAAGTTTTATTTGAAGGGAAGGGAGTAAATCCAACTAAGTTTTCTTGCCCTTTTCACTTCTAGAGGAAAGAGGTTTGGGGAGAAACAGGCCTTGTCCAAAGTCACACTCGCTGGCTGGAGTTAGGCTGGCAGGCCAGATTTGGGGCACAGCTCAGAAATTTCCATTCCTGGCCCAGCACTGGAATAGATGAATATGACAAAATTAAACCAGTGATGTTGTGGGGGAAATTGTGTAAATTCATTAAAGCAAAGGGAATGGGCAATAGAATCTAGCTGATGCATAATAGATCTACAAGGGTTCCTGCTTCCCAGTTATTTTAGCAGTAGCAAAACCCACAGGATACCTACTGATATCTTCCCTTACAATAGCAAAGAAACTTTTAAGGGAAGATAATTGGGTATGAGGTCTTATATGAAAAGTCTCTGACTCAGGTGAGGTTATTGGGGACATACTGCACCTTAATACTGACTCCCCTGAGAGAGAGAGTGAGTAGGTGCAACCACTGTTTTGCATCTAGCAACAATTTGGATGGATGGAACCACTGTTTTGCATCTAAGCTAGGTAGGTAGAGAGAGAGAGAGAGATAAGTGGAATCATTGTTTTGCACCTAACAACAAGAAGAGAGCGAGAGAGAAAATATATATAGGACTCAGCATGCACAAAACAGACATTTTAGGTTGATATATTTGTGCTATTTGGGAATATCATTGTATGTATCTTTGATTTCTCATGAATTCTATTGAATTTTCTTGAAATGAAGTTGGAATCTGTGTTATGTCACAGATTCTATCAAATGGTTAGAATATTTAACTGCAGAGAATTATTGATTTTGATCCAGATAACTGAGCAGCAGAAGAAAATGTATTAGTGATGTTTTGTGAACTTTTGTACAGTGTTAACACAGTTCAGCTAGATAATACAGAGTTTACGGTACCAGAAAATGATGACTATACAAGATAAAGCTGTAGCATAAATGATGAGGGCCACAGATGTTCTCAGATATAACTTCTACAGTGGAATAACTTCTCTGAATTCAGGGTCATTTTTCTCACACAATGCTCTTCCGCTAGGTCGGAAACAGCCCTTCTGTGAGTGGAAGATGCTTTCCGCTAGCAGAAGGGCACCTTTGGATCCAAGCCACTGGCTCCAGTGGGAGTTGTTCCATCTTCGTTTGAAACATTTCTAGCACACACAAGCAGTAGAGTGAAAAGAAAGTGTCATTAGATGAGCAGTACTGATCAACTGTGAAGCTGATTGTTCGACAAAGGAACATGGTAGGTATAGTTATCTGCAGTTTAGAAACATTATAACTTATGCTTGAAGAAATTTGCTAGCTCACTCTGAGAAGGAAACCAAACCGTAAAAAAAGAAGAAATGTTTTCATCTTGATTGAGGTTGTGACTGGTCATGTAATGTTACCTAGCGGTCTTATATAAAACCAGTGTATTTTGCTTGTAGGTAAATGCACAGTTTTGAAGTTTAGAGAGAATGACAATAAATTATGTAATTTGTTTGCAATAACAGTTAGTAAGCTTTTGTTTCTATTCCCTTTGCCTTTAATGGATTTGATCAGATATTTTATATAGTCTAAAGCAGGGATAGCCAATATTTTCCTTGTGTTGAGAACTGTGTACAGAGCCAGATCCAGCAGTGGGAAGGGCCAGAGCCAAATGTGGGATACCTCTCCCCATCTCTGTCTGTCCTACTTCTGTTCTGCTCTTCAGTTTGTCAGGGTGGGCAAAATATTCTGACTAGAAGGCAGAGTTGATCAATTACAGAATGCTTCCAGAATGAGACCAGCAGTTAAACCAAGGGCTGCAGGTTGCCCCTGCCTAATCCAATTTTAGTTTGCTCTTCTTGTTGGCTAGTTTTGGAGGTGGGATGCCTGATTTTTTCTTCTTCTGTGCTGTTTAGGAGGAAAAAATCCAAGAGCAGAAGTCGTAGTCATGACAGGAAAAGGAGTAGAAGTAAGGATCGCAAACGAAGCCGTGATCGTGAAAGGAAAAAGAGCAAAAGTCGGGAGAGGAAACGCAGTAGAAGTAAAGAACGAAGACGAAGCCGTTCCAGAAGCAGAGAACGTCGATTCAGAGGCCGTTACAGAAGTCCTTAGTATGTTTAATTAAATTACTTTTTTTCTAAATTTTTTAAATGTTGTGTAAATAATACTTAAAATACTTACAATCAAATACAGAATCTTTTTAAGAAGGGGAAAGTAAGAATTTAGTGTAAATGTTTGTAGGAACAAAAATTTTACTTCTACACACACATACACTTTGGTTGAATCTTTGAGCAAAGAACATCAGAGAAGCAAATCTGTTTATTTTTCAATACATTTCCCAATGATACATAGGGTCTGAAATCACAATATGACCATAATGATAAATACTTTCTGCCTTGCAGCATTTTCATGGCTAATTATTTGGTAATGATGAACATCCATCACAAAGGTGCCTTGTGATGAGAAAAGACTGTCAGATTAATTTCACATTTACCACACACATCATAGTTGTATTCTGATTGGATTTAAAATGCATTTTAATCAAATCTATATTTTTCAGTGCAGTTATTCAGCTGATAAACCACTCAATAATACTTTCTTTTTTTAAACCTAGTTCTGGTCCTAAGTTCAACAGTGCCATCAGAGGAAAGATTGGCTTGCCTCACAACATCAAAATCAGGTTTCCTTTTCTTCCATTATAGTGAGCATTTAATTACCTGTATTCATATTTATTACCTTTTAATAGTCTTGTATTTGTGTTTTCCGCAGCAGACGACGATCTAGGAGTAAAAGTCCATTCAGAAAAGACAAGAGTCCTGTGAGGTAGGCATTTGAATTGTGCTATTTAATTTTGAATTTCTTATGCCATGTGTTATGAGGTATTTGAGTTGGTTTCTCATTCATAGCTTTCACACTTCAGAGCATTTTCTCAGTTTGCAAGTTGCAATTTGCTGCCTGTGTACCCTAAAGTTGTGCAGATCTGGCAGTGATTAAAGTACAAATATTTTGTGTGCCTGTCCTCAAGTTCTGGCTTTTCTCTGCTTTTCACTTTCACTGAGGTGTTCTAGTTTAATAGAGGCCTCTGCACGCTCTTCTGCTTACGGAAGGGACTGCCTGGTTTGCAGAGAGAAACTATGATAGCCCACACTTTTGAGTAGTATTTGTACAAGAGGACTCTAAAAACCAAGCTTCAGGAATTTGGAATAGGGTTGCTGCCAAAAAAGTATCTTGATTGACTTTTTACAGTGTGAGATTAATCAGAGGTTTGCAGTAGTTGCATGAAAAGGCTATTGGGGGTTGAAATAATTGTTACAGCAGTTCTCTTCAGTCTTAGGATTAAAGACCCTGCCATTCCACAGCCCCAAATGGCTATCCCACAATGAAAGGGACCCCGAGGGAGCCTTGAGACCTTTAGGAAGCAGAATTTCTGAAAGCTTTAATTTCTGAAAAAGTGCTGCACTGGTGATGTCATTAGCTTTCTGTGGTGTAAGATATGCAGCGGGATTTCAGATGCCGATTGATGCCATTAAAAAGAATGCTAGGTACTTGGCACATTTGAAAACAGGCTAAACTCTGTCATGTTGAAGACACATATTATCTCTCCATTCTGTTTAGTGTAAATCATCTTAATAGGTAGTAAAGTTTTCAATTAAGGTTTTGAAATTATTGATAATTTCTGGTGTTTTTCAGAGAACCTATAGATAATCTTACTCCAGAGGAGAGGGATGCTCGAACAGTGTTTTGTATGCAACTTGCAGCTAGGATTAGACCAAGGGACCTTGAAGAATTTTTCTCTACTGTGGGAAAGGTAAGGGATCAAGAATCCTGAAATTTGTTTCGGGGCCCTTGTACATTTTTTAAGTACAGCAGCTCGGTAAATCTTGCCAAGTCTTCTGTGTATAAAATTGTTGAGCTCCTTTGGAGTATTTGAGATGGCTTGCAAGAGACAAGTACTGAAATTAATTCATGCTGTGGAATGTCCAGTAAAGGAACATATGGGCCATGCCGTATGGGCACGGGCCACCATTTATTTATGTATGTATGTATGTATGTATGTATGTATGTATGTATGTATGTATGTATGTATGTATGTATGTATGTATGTATGTATGTATGTATGTATGTATGTATGTATGTAGTATGTATGTATGTATGTATGTATGTATGTATGTATGTATGTATGTATGTATGTAACTTATATGCCGCCCACTCTACCAGTAACACTGATAAAACTAAATTAAAAGTGAAGTCTCATGTGGTTGTCACACCTTTTCACTGCACCTGTATCGTATGGACTGTAATGTTCTTTAATCTTTATTTGAACATAGATACTTGGGGGAAAAAATCAAATATTAAGTAATACAGTAAATGTGAGTCACAGGTCTGGAGAAATTTAATTCTGTTACAGGTACCATGGCATGTGAGTCTTGTTAAAAATTGTCATATAGTTAAAACAGTGTTTTAACATATTTTTACAGGTTCGTGATGTACGCATGATTTCAGATAGAAACTCCAGACGTTCCAAAGGAATTGCTTACGTAGAATTTGTTGACGTTAGTTCAGTACCTTTGGCAATTGGATTAACTGGACAGCGAGTGTTGGGAGTACCAATTATTGTACAAGCATCTCAAGTAAGTTAATTCTGGGTTCTTTTGTGTTGGACTCAGTAAACTTTCATGAGTCATGTTGTATAAAATTTCATGAGTTTTGTGGTGATATCTGCATAGATTTGAAATCCAGAGAATTGTTTGAGTAATATTAAGGGATAGAAATAATTGTTGTTTTTCCCCCCTTTGAGTTAATAAGCTGTCTTATGGTTGTTGTGGGTTTTTTGGGTTCTTTGGCCGTGTTCTCAAAGTTGTTCTTCCTGACGTTTCGCCAGTCTTTGTGGCTGGGGGGGGGGTGGGGGGGGGGGGGGGGAGGGGGGACAGCACCCTGTGCTCTGGTGTAGTTGGCTTGGTTTTGTGTAAGAAGCCTTAACCAGTAAAGGTGTAGCAGTGCCCTCTGAAGATGCCGGCCACAGAGGCTGGTGAAACGTCAGGAAGAACAACCTTCAGAACATGGCCAAAGAACCCAAAAAACCCACAACAACCATCAGATCCCGGCCGTGAAAGCCTTTGAGAATACAAGCTGCCTCGTATTCAAACTCCTCTTGAAACTGAGGGGACTATCCAGGTCAGTTTGGCAGACAGGCACTAAGGGGCTTGCGGTAAAATAAAATAAGTCTCAGAAGTAAGCCTGATTGAATTACAGTGCAATTGAATCACAATTAACAGTGAATGGTCTGTACTGTAAAAATCTCCTGGGTTTAGAAGACTTCTCTAATTGTTCTTTAGACGTTGACCATTCTTTTAATTAAAAAAGGATTGTTCGTTTGAATTATGTAGATCCTGCCTTTCCATACCTTTGTTCAAGGTAGTAGACTATGTTTGAGCAGATTCCGTATATAATAATGGTTTAATACATGCAAGAAACAGAGACAGATAAAACTTTAAAAGTGAACTCTTGCCTAGAATACAACTGAGATTGTTTGTGGCAAGTAAATTGGGCAACAAGGAAGTGTTAAAGCAGGAAAATGCTCATTTGGAATTTGCTATCAGTTTGACCTGCTCTACTATTTTAGGATCAATTCCTACTCAGAACTCTTGGATGAGCATATATGTAGTAGTATTTTAGAATAGACAAAGAAAACTAAATATACCAGTGTAAAAACAGAGTGGGTTGTAGATGTATTTTATTGAGTGTTCATTTAATTTAAGAAGATCTTGAATATCGTGTTTCTGGTCAGATTGTTGCATACACTTTGGGAATATTCTTTGGCTAACTGTAACCCAATTTACAGTTACACTCTGTAGTGAGGTGAGTCATTTTGATTTTTCTGATTATTCTAGGCAGAGAAAAATAGAGCAGCAGCAATGGCCAATAATCTACAAAAGGGCAGTGCAGGCCCTATGAGACTTTATGTCGGATCATTACATTTCAACATAACCGAAGACATGCTTCGTGGAATCTTTGAGCCATTTGGCCGGGTAAGATTTTTGGTTGTTTGGAGATAAAGTTGTTTATTTTGCCTGCATCTTGCCTTTTCTCATTGGACATCGGACTACTATATGTGGTTCTCCCCATGAAATTTTATCGTTTAAAATAATGTACAGGGTGAATTCAGTGTGAGGATCATGATTGGCTTTGTGTTTGAGTAGAAAATTGAACATAGGTCTCTGGTTTCATTTGATATGCAGACAACTGCAGTAGGTATGGGGAACCTCCTTATGCTGTGGAAACGGCTGCAAAACCTTATTTTGTATATAAGTATATAAATAAGTATATATAGATAAGTAATTATGTATAATTGTTACACTACGTTATGGTTTAGTATTTCATGCATTGAGAACGAACTCTGTTCCTTTGTCTTTCTTTTAAAGATATACATGGTTTTTAATGGTCTGAGGAAGTTCCATCAGAATAATTAGTAGAACATTCAGCATGAATAGCAAAATGTTAGGCAGACCTCTGGACAACTTCATGACATGTTTCAGGGACTGGTGCCCCACATATGGCTGGAACTCCATGGAACCACTTCCATTGCTGCTGCTGAGTTTTGGCTGCACAGTAGCAAAGGCAGCTCTTTCTTTACTAAATAAGACATGTGCCCCCAGATGCTTCTAGGAAATACAATCAACTTTAAATATATGTGTTCAAGGAATAGGAATTTAAGGCTTTTTTTAAAACATGGCTGACAAAACTAAGAAATACTATGGTACTTTTAAATGGATTGCCGTTCATGAAAACGTACAGTGAAATAAATATACTGATCTTTAAGGTGCCACAGGTGTTCTGGTTTTGTTACAGAAACTAAAATACAGTATTCATATCCTCTGTGTTTACTTGGGAAAAATAGCAGTTTTTGCCATCAGATTGGCGAAATAAGCAGGGAAGCACTACATGTAGCCTATAGGCTACATGTTGCCCACCTCTGTTCTAGATAGATTCATTTTGTTTTCTTGACCTGTATAACATTCCAGAAATATGTGTTGAGTGATAATAACTATTATATGCTAATAGGCATCCTTGATTCTTTTCAGATTGAAAGCATTCAGCTGATGATGGACAGTGAAACTGGGCGTTCCAAAGGATATGGATTTATTACTGTAAGTTAATGAACTTGATGTGGGACATGACTGATATGGCATTTATTTACTCAATTACAGTTACAATTAATTTATTGCAAGGTGACAGCTGTGTTAAGGAATTTATTTTCAGTCATATGCTTAATATAAGTGGTACAATTTTGTATTAGGTTGCCATGTTAGATATTTATAAAACTACTAAATACCAAGTCCTGACCTTTATTCACATAAGGAAAGGAATGTGTTGAATGTGCTGTTAAAAGAATTAAAGAAAACAAGAATGGGGTGATACAGAAAAGGTCATAGATGAGACAGCAGAGAAGCCTAAACATAAGAAAGAGGGCAAAAGGCAGCTATACTAACCAGATGAGGAATGCATATAAGGTCAATGATATGTGGCTTAGTAGGGTATATAAACGCTAAGCACACATCTGTAAACTCCGAGACATTGTTTGGGTATTAAGATGGAATGTATTTTATAAATTAAAAACATGAATAATTCTGAAACCCAAGCTACTTAAAACTGAACATTTTTAATTTTGATACTGCCTGTTCAGTTATTTTCACAGTGGTAGAATATCATAGAATAGCAAAGTTGGAAGAGGCCAATAAGGCCTGCTCGATGCAGGAAAAGAAATCAAAGGTTATCTGCCAGGTTGTTGTCTTAAGTTTCTTTTGAATGACTTCAGTGCTGGAGCACTCACCACCTCTCAAAGTAATTGGTTCCACTCTTCTACTGCTCTAGCAGTTAGGAAATTTTTCTTGATAATCATTCAAAATCTGGCTTCCTGTAACTTGAGCCCATTGTTGGGTGTCCTGCACTCTGGGATGATTGAGAACAGATCCTGCTCCTCTGTATGACAGCCTTTCAAGTACAGTGGTGCCTCACAAGATGATTGCCTCGCGGGACAATCCGCAAGACGCTGGGTTTTTGCGATTGCTGTTGTGCTTCGCAAAGTGGTTTTTCCTATGGGCGATTTTCGCTAGACAATGTTTGGGTCCGTGCTTCGCAAGACTTTTTTTTTAAGACTAATGCTTCGCAAGACGATGTTTTTCCCCATTGGAATGCATTAAATAGATTTCAGTGCATTCCAATGGGGAACCGCCTTTCGCAAGACAATGTTTTCTATGGATGATTTTTGCAAGGCGACGATTGTTTTCCCCATTGGAATGCATTAAATAGATTTCAGTGCATTCCAATGGGGAACCGGATTTTGCAAGATGATATTTTCGCAAGACAGCGATTTTCGTGGAACGAATTAACATTGTCGTGCGAGGCACCACTGTATTTGGGAAACGTTATCCTATCTGTCTTCCTTTCTCAAGGCTAAGCGACAGTTGCTGTCATACTGGCTTTCAGGTTAGAGTGTATCAAATGAAGGTTGTATCATTGCAAGTTGACATTGAATAGTGTATTTTCCTGGGGTGATTGTCACATATCTAAAGATGCAGCTCATATTGTGAATTGACATGAATATCCATTTATTGTGTATGTTAAAGTAGTGAGATGTTATTGGAAACTACCTTCCCCTTGGTAGTTAGACTCTTTGTTTGCCTATCCTTGTGTAGTCTTTTAACTGGCAGGACTTAACACTGGTCTCAGACAGTGGTCTTATTTATTTACTGCAATCTAGGACAGTATGAATTAAAATTGCATGGTCTGTTGGTGAATATATAGCAAAACCTTTACATTTGTACTAGTTGCTCGCAGTTTGTGTCATTTTTGTACATGATATCACAGCTGCGATTGAAAGGGTACAACTGTTACTTTAGGACTGGGGCTTCATAAGATGTGTGCTTTTTAAAAAATGTTTCCAGTGACAACTAAATGCTTCAGATAATAACCGTATACTAATTGGTTTATAGTTTTCAGATTCAGAGTGTGCTAAAAAGGCCTTGGAGCAACTAAATGGATTTGAACTGGCTGGCAGGCCAATGAAAGTAGGCCATGTGACTGAACGTACAGATGCATCCAGTGCTAGCTCATTTTTGGACAGTGATGAACTGGAAAGGACAGGAATTGACTTGGGAACAACTGGCCGTCTTCAGTTGATGGCAAGACTAGCTGAGGGTAAGTTTGTTGGAGAAAATGATATTGCTTCTCTTTCACCCTTCATTTCTGCTGGCTGTAATATTTCACTCCAAGTAAGAGTTCAGTGGCAACTTCCATTTATCCGAAAAGGAGTGAGAGATAGTGCACAAAAAAATATTCTTACAGACAGATTCTACATAAGCATAACATCAGCGGTCCTGAAGAAGGCTAAAAGTGCAATAGCCGAAACGCGTTGGACTTATCTTTGAATAAAGTATAGATAGCCATTTTTACATCCTGGGACCACTGTCTCTCTTTGCTTGATAGCTTCAGTTGATGTACCAGTCCTTTTTGTTCTTGTTCCACTTAGTTTAGCCACATGAATTCTTTAGACTTTATGATGCCCCTGTTAAATACTGTGTTTATAGTGCAAAAATAAATTAGTGGCTTTCTTTTTCAGGTACTGGTTTACAGATTCCTCCAGCTGCGCAGCAAGCTCTGCAGATGAGTGGCTCATTAGCATTCAGTGCTGTAGCAGGTAAAACCCATTTTTATTTTAGCTAAACTAAAGAACAGTAACTGCTTACAGAGCAAGCCTGTACATGTGTGCTTGAGAGCAACTCCCACTTTATTCAGTGATGCTTCCTCACAAATAACTATGTTTAGGATTGTACCTTTATTCACATATTGACCATGTTATCTTCTAGCTGACTTACTGTATTTTTTGCACCATAAGACTCACTTTTTTCCCACAAAACAGGGGTGTGGAAAGTCTGTGCGTCTTATGGAGCGAAAAATACGGTAATTGATTAATTTGCACAGTTCAAGGATTAATGCAGATAGAATAGAAGTTAATTTGTAGCTATTAATACTTAAAATCTTGATTCATAATATGGTGCTGTATATAGCAGTTAAGTGTCTGCTACCTTAAGTCTTTGCTCCCCCCATTTGTACTGTGATTCATATTAAAAACTTCCTGCTTTTTCCTCTCTTGCTATCCTTTGCTTCTTAACAGTCAGTATTTTATAGTACAGTGGTGCCCCACTAGATGCTTACCCTGCATGACATTGAAATCACTTGACAATGACATTTTTGCAATCGCTATTGCGATTGCAAAACGATGGTTCCAATGGGGGAAATCCGCTTTACGTCGATTAGGAGCCTGCTTCGTGAACCGTTTGTTTACAAAACAATGTTTTTCTGGCTCCGCAAAATGGCTTCCCTCCCTTCACAAAATGGCTGCTTTCTGGACGAAAGCTTCGCATTACAGCGATTTAGAACAGCTGATTGGCGGTTCTCTATGGGCAGTTTTTGCTGGACGATGAGGTATTTCCCCATTGGAACACATTGACCGGTTTTCAATGCAGTCCAATGGGGATTTTTTTCCTCTTGATGACGATTTTGCTTAACAGCGATTTTAATGGAACGCATTATTGTCGTCAAGCAGGGCACCACTGTATTAAATTTCTCGGATCAACTAGGAATTGATATATAATGCAAATAGATAACAGGATATGTTTTCAATTACTTATCCCTTATAGTATGTCAGTCCACAATATGATTAACATTCATGGAGAAATTAATGGCATTATGATGAGTGTATGTGAGAGGGAGAGGGAGATTGAGATTGCTGATTCGGATATGAAGATTTTAATTGCTCTACAATGTTTTTTCTTTAGATTTGCAGACAAGACTTTCGCAGCAGAGTGAAGGTGAGAAATCAGTATATGTAGATTAGAAAATTTAATACCTGCAGTTCCATTCACCTGTCTGCCAGGGAAAATGTTCGTTGTGCTCTGGTGAGATTCCCCAAAACATTAGTCAGCCTCTAGTTTACACTGGAATTTGGAAGAAAACAACAACATGCTTTTAAAGGAGTATTTCTTTTATCCATCTGTGGGTACATTCAATACAAAATAGCCTCTCCACTGAGTCCCTTATGATAGGTAGAGGACTCAAGAAATGTTAGTTGAAAATGAAAACATGGTTAGTAAGAAAGATGATATTTTGGACCTCTGTAGAAAGATATAGTCTTAGCTACTTGATGTGCTAAACCGAATAATGGTGAAGTGTTTGGGATGAAAAGGAAGCAGTTTATTTAGTTTTCCAGTACTGGTATGGATATGTATCTCACTGGACATGATACCCTCTACACAATTAATTAATTAATTAATTAATTAACTTATATGCCACCCACTCTACCCAAAGGTCTCTGGGCAGTTTACAACAATCATTACTAGGGAAATTGTCGTGATTTTCTTTCTGCAAGTAGTCCATCCCATTAGCTTGTGCTCTCATTGGCACAGAGCTGCTGAATTAGACATAAATTAAATATAGTTTTTTAAAAAAATTAAATTAAGGAGAGTCATCTAGAATTATTTGTCTATAGCTTGCTCAGTGAATTAGATATCTGGCTGCAGAGCCAGAGGTTGGGAGTTTTATTTCCCTACTGTGCCTCCCAAGAAAAGAGCTGTCCTGTGTAGCCCTGGGCAAGCCAGACAGGGTGTCTCCACAAGAAGAGAATGGTAAATCGCTTCAGAGTACTATCTACCTAGAAAACTCTGCAGAGGGTTGCAGCAAGTCAGAATTGACTTGACAGTTCACAGTTATTCATGAGAGAAAGGAAGAAACTAATGGCTAATAATCTCATCAGAGCTCATTTTATCCGCAAAGGCTGGTGATAAACTTTTTGAAATTTAGTAAATTGAAATACTTATGTTAGAAGCTCTGCAGATGGGAAGAAACAAATTGATAGGGAGAGGAGCTGATAAGGTTTGAATCATTGCCCAGAATATCATCGGGCTCCAGCTACCAACCCTGGATGACATCTTCACATCCCACTGTCTGAGGAAGTCACACAGCATCCTGAGAGACTCTTCCCATCCTGCTTATAACTTTTTTGAACTGTTACCTTCTGGCAGAAGATATAGAACAATTAAGACTCGGACCACACGGTTTCTGAATAGTTTTTATCCCAGAGCTATAATTGCAATTAATGATGAGCTTAAAGACCACCAGTAGTGAATAATTAGTTGGACTGTGTTACTAGGCCTGCGGTGTAGATGTTTGTATTTTTAGTGGGGACTTTTAGTGGGTGGGGAGGGTTTGGGGAATTTTATGTGTGTGCATGTGTCTGGTCCTCTGGGTGTCTGTGAATTTCGTTGTATGGGTATACTGTGTATATACTTACAATGACAATAAATTATTATTATTTGAAAATGTTATCTGTTGTTTTGAGGACATACATATACTGCAGTAGGAGTGTCTTTAGGCTGACATGACCCCTCTTGCTAACTCAAAAGAGATTATTTGCCTCACAAAGGAGCTCCTTAAAACTTTGTTCCTGCTTTGCCCAGAGACGCATATGAATTCTACTGTCTCTGGAAGAAACAGTATTCTTTTTCCATTCTTAATTGTAATCCATTATGCAACTGTTTGGTTCATAGCAAAAAACTGGTAGATGGATAGAGAGAGATATTACAGATCAATCAATGACTCAGTTGTGCTTCTGCAGAGCCAGAATGTTAGAGGAAACTGTTGCAAAATATTATTCAAAGCAGCTCTACGTCTTGCCTCACCTATCACATTACTTTTGTATATCCCAGCCTGGAAGGCCTCTCACCCTTTCTTTAGTGATTTATAATTTTGCAGTACCATGTTTCAGCATAGATGAGCAATACTTTAAATAGTTGTTTATATCTTAAAATTTTAATGGTAAGGAGAATATTCATTTTGAGTTTTCAAAAACTTAATTTTCACTTTCCTCTTCAGTATTGGCTGCAGCGGCTTCAGTACAACCACTTGCAACACAGTGCTTCCAACTCTCTAACATGTTTAACCCGCAAACGTAAGTTAATATCTAGTATTTCAGTTTTATTTATTTGTTCAGCATAATTGTAAAAAATTCATAGATTTGTGGTTTTTGCTATGCAGTGAAGAAGAAGCTGGCTGGGATACAGAAATTAAGGATGATGTGATAGAAGAATGTAACAAACATGGAGGAGTTGTCCATATTTATGTAGACAAAAATTCAGCTCAGGTAGGTTATTAAAAATAATTAATTTTAAATTCTTCATTGGAATGTTACTGTTACATTTAAAATGCATTTAATAAAAATATGATTTTTAGAAGATGAGTACCTAAGAGTTCCACAGTTGTTTTTTATTGTAGTTTCTTATTATAGTTGGACGTATTGCAAACTGCACAGTTGACTACTACAGAGAAATTTTAATGTGACAAGAACCAGACTAAAATATTCTGAGATGAGGCCATAACCTAATAGTTGTCAGAGAGCAAATATCTGTATATTTACTGAATAATGGCCTTATTGCAAAGTCAAAATATCGTTCTCTGAATCCTGATCAGCAGCTGCACAAGATACAGGATTACTGTGTTTGCAACCCTCACTTGCAGCCATCTTAATGGAAACTACATGGGTGACATTTTAAAGCCTTAGCCACACAACACATGAAGTATTGTCATGGACGTTAGACTTGCACCAGAGGTTAATCCTGTCTTTAGACTGGTGTTATGAACAGGTTGTAGCTTGGGAGTGCTTCATAACTCTGCACGTTTTAGATGTGTGGTGGCTAGGGCACCTTTTCCCAACTTCAGATGGTACATTAGCTATGTATCTCTGGCAAGGCCATAATTTGCCATTAATTACCTTTAGGTTAGACTATAGTAATGCTTCCTATGTGGGGCTGCCTTCAAACATTGTGCATAAACTTTATTTGATGCAAAGTAGTGGCACTCGCTAACATGCGCTAGATTATGGAGAAAGCTAGAGAATTCCAGAAAAATATCTATTTCTCCTTCATCAGCTATGCAAAAGCCTTTGACTATGTGGACCACAAAAAACTATGGCAAGTCCTTAATGAAATGGGAGTGGCTGACCACCTTATCTATCTCCTGAGAAACCTATACGTGGGACAGGAAGCAACAGTTAGAACTGGATATGGAACAACTGATTGGTTCAAAATTGGGAAAGGAGTACGACAGGGCTGTATATTATCTCCCTGCTTATTTAACTTATATGCAGAATACATCATGTGAAAGGCTGGATTGGATGAATCCCAAACCAGAATTAAGATTGCCAGAAGAAATATCAACAACCTTTGATATGGAGATTATACCACTTTGATGGCAGAAAATGAGGAGGAATTAAAGAACGTCTTAATGAGGGTGAAAGAGGAGAGCGCCAAAATGGTATGATGCTCAACATAAAAAAAAACTAAGATCATGGCCACTGGTCCCATCACCAAGCAAATAGAAGGGGAAGGTATGGAAGCAGTGACAGATTTTACTTTCTTGGGCTCTCCATGATCACTGCATATGGTGACAGCAGACACGAAATTAAAAGACACCTGCTTCTTGGGAGGAAAGCGATAACAAACCTAGACAGCATCTTAAAAAGCAGAGACATCATCTTGCTGACAAAGGTCCGCATAGTCAAAGCTATGGTTTTCCCTGTAATGATGTATGGAAGTGAGAGCTGGACCATAAAGAAGGCTGACCACCGAAGAATTGATGCTTTTGAATTGTGGTGCTGGAGGAGACTCTTGAGAGTCTTCTGGACTGCAAAAAGAACAAACCTATGCATTTTGAAGGAAATCAACCCTGAGTGCTCACTGGCAGGACAAATCCTGAAGCTGAGGCTCCAATACTTTGGCCATCCCATGAGAAGAGAAGACTCCCTGGAAAAGACCCTGATGTTGGGAAAGTGTGAAGGCAAGAGGAGAAGAGGATGACAGAGGACAAGATGGTTGGACAGTGTTACCGAAGCTACCAACATGAATTTGACCCAACTCCGGGAGGCAGTGGAAAACAGGAGGGCTTGTCATGCTCTGGTCCATGAGGTCATGAAGAGTAGGACACGACTTAATGACTAAACAACAACAGTGGCACACAACATAGTTGGAGTTAGGCATTCAGAATATATGGCACTTCAGTTTGCATTGCTAGTCTGTTTCTGGGCTCAATTCAAGGTGCTGGTTTTAACCTTAGAAGTGGATAACTTGTTTTCTGTTTCATTCTTACTCATATGATGTGTTAAACATGAGAAGCTTTGCTTTGATACAACTGTTGAATGAGATAGTGGGAAACTACTAGGAACTGATTTTTTTTAATAGTGTCACTTGCTGTTTGAAATACTGGCAGAGGGGAGCTTTGTCTAGTCCTCCTTTATTTTAGATATCTGTTAAAGCATGCTCAAAGAATATAGATTTCCAGGACTTGTTTCAGTGATTCCTGCATGTTCCACTGACATTTTATGTATTAAGCTGCTTTAAAGTTACTTTGTGGGAAAAGGTTGGAGATAAGGATATTATCATTTATTTATCCATTTTTTGCTTTGCATTAATGTGAGGGTTTGAGTTTTGGCTCCAAATTTAATTCCAAGAAATCAGTAGATCTTTGTTGTTTCAAAACAGGTGTGGGATTTATCGGTGCATTAAACAATAAACAAGTGTCTGGAACATGATTATGAGTCTTTTCTTCTTCTGCCAACGGGTCCGGAAGGGGCTTCCATTCATTAAACAGGAATGGGTTTCTATAACTGTTTTCCCATGGTCCTGGGAGATCAGCAGGGACCCAGTCCTTTAAGGTCTACCTCATCGTGCCTTCCAGCAGGGGCATGGTCTCCTCGTCGGTCCTTTAAGGTCTGCCTCATCGTGGCTTCCAGCAGGGGCATGGTCTCCTCGTCTAGGTCATCTTTCCACAGGATCCGTCCAGTGGAGTCTCGGTTCTCCCAGGGTCCTCCCTGTAACTCCTTCTCTTCATCTCCGTTACTCTCCATCTCTCTCTCTCTCTCCTCGTTCCTCATTCCTTTTCCTCTCTCAGTCTCCTTCTCCACTCTCTCACCTCTGCTTCTCCCTAATAATAGGGTCTTGGGGGGGGGAAAATCTCCACTCTTCTCCTATAACCTGCCGCCTCTTTTGGCACTTTTAATCTCTCCCATAATCCAGTCCAAGGATCCTGCATCCACACCCATTCCCAACCGGGCAGTAACTGGTCTTTTTTCCTCACTACCTCCCCCGTCCCTGCTTCAAACTCCATCTTTTTCTCTCTCTTCTTTTTCTCTCTTCCTGCCTTTTCTCCCTGAACCTCCCCTGTTATCACATTCTGTATGTTTTCTGTCAGCTCCTCTATCACTCTCTTCTGCTGAGGTTGCACTGTAGGTTCTGGTGCGGAATTGGGGTCCACTTCCTTAGTTTTGTTGCACTGTAGGTTCTGGTGTGGAATTGGGGTCCACTTCCTTAGTTTTGTTGTTGAGGAGGGACGGTTCTCCAGCGAGTGGGGTATCCCTCTCACCCTCTGTCTCACAATTAACAATTTACATGTCAGACTTCTGTTGAAGTGTAACCTCAAGTTCCACATAAGTATAGTGGTTTAAACATTAATAGAAAGAGATCAGTTGGTTGAAGGCAATGGACTTGTTGGTTGATGCACTAAACATTTTTTTATATTTCAGGGCAACGTGTATGTAAAGTGCCCTTCAATAGCAGCAGCAATTGCAGCTGTCAATGCATTGCATGGAAGGTGGTTTGCAGGTAAGGAAATTCACAATGGAATATTGTTATCTAACATGGCTAATAGATATAAAACAGGGTGAGTAACTTCTAGACCAGTGGTTCTTAACCTTTGTGGTAACTTCTAGACCAGTGGTTCTTTCGGATGTTTTTGAACTGCAACTCCCAGAAACCCCAGCCAGCACATTTGGTGGTGAAGGCTTCTGGGAGTTGCAGTCCAAAACTCCTGAGTAACCCAAGGTTAAGAACCAGTGTTCTAGACCATTGGCCAAATTAATATCTCAGCCATCTTTTCTGGCCCCAAAGTCTCTTCCGATCATTTGGAGACTTGAATAGGGCAAAGATTTGAAAGTCTGTGTTGGAGAGATGTGTCGATTTTTCTTTTTCTTCCCACTGTTCCATTCCAAGAACTTCTGTACTGGAAAGATAAAATACAGTTTCCTAACCCAGGTTGTCCCCAGACAAACTGGCTGGGGCTGATGAGAGTGCTTAGGACACCAAGAGGGCAAGACTGACTTAATTTTTTGGAAGGCTAAAAATCCTTTTAAGTGATCTCTGGGTAGAAATTAATGAGATGTATTGAGGCTGCAAGTTCTAGAATGGAAGTGGGATAAGAGAGAATAGGGATACATTCTTCAGTGTATAGGTGGTTGAATGGGAAAGAATTTGGTCATCCCCGCATTTAGTCACAGCCCTGTACTATATGGGCCCTGATTGGTTATCCAACATAGAATTAAGAACTAGACAAGACTTCACAAGTTTACATGATAGAGGGGGACCTTGCTTCCTCATGCACATATACCCATGGTGTCCATCTCAGACCAAAGGAGGGAGGGGGTGACATTATCAGCCTTCTGCTTTAGAGTGGGGAAAACTTTGTTCCGCAAGCCAAATTTGGCATGCCAGGGCAATCCATCTAGTCCATGGGGAAAATCTTGGGACAAAATCATTCCTTCTCCTGTCCCAAAGAGATGGACTGAATGACTAGATTTTGACCTCAAGCCTATGGCTTTATTGATTCACTTCTTCCTTGCTTTCCCCTTGTGAGAATGAGGTGGAAGCAATGAAACCAAATGCACTCAAGTCATAATTTTGAGATATCTATTGAGCGTTCTTCAGTTGTCCACATAGGAGAGCGAAAGATGATCAATCAAAGCCTTGACCTGGTGTTTTAGCGAGATACCTGATGGTATTGCAGGGCTTCATGCAAATACCCTGAGGATATGTGCCTTTACCCCTCCTTTACAGGTTTTTAGAACATTATTTCTACAATAATACTTGAGAGATTTTTATTTCAGTCAAAAGAACAGATATAAACTAGAAACGATAATAAATAATGGTTAATATAGCTAATACATGGATATTGTTAGATACACATTAAATATACATTGTCTAGATCTCACTCATAGAAACAGACATTTAAAAAGGTAATCAGTATAGGATTTTATAATATTGTTGCAAACCAGCAAGCTATTGTTACTTAAGAATTGGCTTAAAAAAAGGAAAGGATGTACAGTCCTTTGTGTATACTTCCTGTTACCTTTAAACAAACAATAATATAGTAAGCAGGAATGCTGTGTGTTCATTCTCTTGATTAGCATTCCCACTGTATACAAAGCTGACTACTTGTTCTGCCTTGTAATTGTACATTTAGACCATTTGGCTAAAATGAGCTGTAGGAACAGTGTTGGATCAGTGTCTTGGTAATACAGAGGGCCCGGCAACAACAAAAATTGCTGCTGGTGGTACAGCAGTTCCTGTCTGTTCAAAATGTGTACTTCAGAAGTTAGATTGATGGCTTTGTGTTCTTTTGATGAGGCAATTATTGTTATAGGATCTCCAGACAGCTAGCTGGTTAAAAAACTGTTTCCTCACATACTTGACATTTCTGACCTAGGATAATTTGCCATCAGTTTTAATGAAGTGAAAGCAAGCCTTAGATGCTGCAACTTTCTTTGCCAGTTAAGAAATATATTATCCTATAAAAACGCTCAGAATATGATTTGAGCTAGTATGCTATTACTGAGAGGTAATACATTTTCTTGTTGGTTGGAGAAGCCCCTTTTATCCTGCGTGTGACTGAGGCACAGTCAGTGGGAATGAGAGAGAGCTGCTTTGATTCCTCCCCAGCTCAAATAATCTTACTTCATAAGATCTGTTAGCTGCCCTCTTACTCACTCATTGATTAGCTAAAACCTCCCTGTTCATGCAAGCAGTAGGGTACACCCTCATTTTTAGAATGTTCATTTGGTCATTTGTTTCTGTTATGTTTTAATTTCTAGATCCTTCTAGTTTAAATGCACTGGGACATAAGTTAACTGAAATAAATAAAAATAAAAAGAGTCCTTGGCTTTCAAATGAATTTCACTGGTGTTGTGTTTCTCTTTTTGGCATTATACTGCTTTTTTTTAAGTATGAAATTTTATCTTCTTTCTTTTTTCTCTTTTCTCTGGTAGGTAAAATGATAACAGCGGCATATGTACCTCTTCCAACATACCACAACCTTTTCCCAGATTCTATGACTGCAACCCAGCTCCTGGTTCCTACTCGGCGATGAAGATGGATTTAGTCAGTTTTGTACATAGCTATTTTTGAAGGAAGACTTGAGTTACCTTTTATTTAGATGAAAAAAGGAAAGGATGTACAGTCCTTTGTGTATACTTCCTGTTACCTTTAAACAAACAATAATATAGTAAGCAGGAATGCTGTGTGTTCATTCTCTTGATTAGCATTCCCACTGTATACAAAGCTGACTACTTGTTCTGCCTTGTAATTGTACATTTAGACCATTTGGCTAAAATGAGCTGTAGGAACAGATGTAGCTTATAGAAAAGATTTTTCTGTAAAAGGTGGACAGGATGATTTTTATTGTTTCACAAGCCTTTTCTTTGAATGCAGGTACTGCATTTGACATCCACGTAAATGTAGATACTCTGCTAAAGGTTAATATCAGATTTAACTGGACATATTTAGTGTGTTTTGTATGGACAGAAAATTCGAGAGGCTACTGAGTGATTTTTGGTCAGCTGATCTGCTCTTTTAATGTTGACCAGTTGGCAAAATCGAGAAGATTAAAGGATTTTATTTCTAGATGGTAAATTTTGATTGTTTCTGTAAAAGTTTATTGTAAATAAGGTGTAAGGTGTGTTTAGAATGCCAAACAAAGCTATCTCTGCATTTCCAGATTAAAGTTCCATTGATTGCAGGGAATGTACCTATTTGAAAGTTGAAGTAGGAAATGCAGGAATATATTTTGTCTGGTTGCATATAATCTCTGCTCTTTTTTAAGCTCTGTGAGCTCTGAAATATATTTTTGGGTTACTTCAGTGTGTTTGACAAAACAGCTTGATATTTCTATCAACAAATGACTTTCATATTGCAACAATCTTTGTAAGAACCACTCAAATAAAACTGTCTAAAAGGCCACCAGAAGCATTATTCTTTAGAGTTAAGTTAGCTGCAAATAGTAACATTCAAAGTATGTACTGTTCAGTCAAATGTTTAAAAATTAGCAGTTCCTTTTTTTAAGTGGACTAGGGTATTTAGCATTCTCCACCTGTGGTTTTGTCCTCCAGACTAACCAAGTGGAGGGAGTGTTCTCAAAAATTTAAGATAACAAGATGGACAGCCTCAGCATGAGTAATCAGGTTCTCCAGGGTTCTTCTTCGTGGCCTCTGTGAATGCACACAAATGGGTTTAGACTGTGCCTGTGCAGGACTCCTCGGAATATTCTAGAGCAGGGGTTTTAAACTCAATTTACCTGGGGGCCGCTAGAGGCTGAGGCGGGGCTGCATCAGATTTTCCGCCAAGCGGAGCAAGAGCCCGAGGAAGCCGCCCAGGAGTATCCTTAGCTGGCAGACAGGTGGGCTGGCTGGCAGGCTGCAATTCTGGATAGAGGGTGCAAGAGGTGCTGTCTTGGGAGAGAGCCGGCGAGCAAGGCAAGGCTTTTTTTTACTCTTGACAGCAGAGGATGTGTGGGCGCTTTGGGGGGGCAGGCAAGGTGAGGGCCACAAACCATCATCTGGGGGCTGCAAATGGCCCCCGGGCCGCATGTTTGAGACCCCTGTTCTAGAGCTTAAAAACTTGTGATTAGTAGATTTCCCCGTGGTGCGCATGCTCCGCTGTCTCATAATACCTCAGTTCCTTTTTGCTGCTGCTGCAGTCAGACTCTTTCATGTCTAGACCTGTTTTTTCCTATTCTGATCGGTTTATCAATTGTTTCTAATCTCTGGAAAATTTTGAATTTCGACTGGGTACAGTATACAGTTATCAGATTTTGGATTGACTACTGGCAGTTGTTTCTCTGCTATTTTGACCTTCGGACTGCTTACTGATTCTGGTTTTTCAATTGCGGACTTTGTTGTGAACAACTTGGCTTCTTATCTTTCGGCTTTGATCTTGGACAACCGTTGATGTTTTCCCATTCTTCTCTTCTGTTCCTGCCAATTTTTATGGCCTCGTCAGGTCCCTTTAAGTGGTGTACATTGTGTGCCAGCAAGGTCCCTTTAACAGATGGCCACGACCTCTCTTTATTTTGTTGGGAGAGATGCACCAAACTCATTCCTGTCAGGAGTGTAAAAAGTTGACTAAACCAGCCTTTAAGCTCCGTTTGCAGAGGATTTGTTCATATTTGTGTGAAAAATCACTCACACCTTTGAGCCCAGCAATCATGGAGCCTACCGTGATTCCTCCTCCCTCTCCTTGTCTTGAGCCTGCTGCTTCTTCGGTTTCTGTTACCCTGTCTCCAAGGTCATCTTCAATGTCCTGAGCCTGCTGCTTCTTCAGTTCCTGTTACCCTGTCTCCAAGGTCATCTTCAAAAGCATCTAAACCGAAGAAGTCTTCGGCATCGACTTAGGCCTTGCTGTCGAAGTCACAGTCTGTGGAAGATCCTAAGAAAAAGAAAGCTGTTGATAAACAGAAGTAGTCTAAACAATCTTCTAAATCTGCTCAACTTAGAGAACTTCCTCTGATATGAGTCTCCCTTCCATCTCCCATACTTGAGGAGTCATCTCAGGAGTTGCCAGATCCGGACTCCCTTTTTGAAGGGATTGACTCGGTACCACCACCACCACAGGCTCAGGCTTCGGTATCGATACCGAGCCTGTCTCCTAATCATGGCCGTTTTGAGGCTGATGTCATCTATAGCCTGGCCTCGGCCCATTTGAGCCCTATGTCAATCGGGCGGGCAACAGTAATTCAGCTGTCAAACTCAGAGGTGTTGTCACAGCAGTCTCCACGTAAACAGCTGGCTAAATGTTGGCACATCTGTCCAGCCTGACAGTATCCTCAACATTGGAGGTTATAGTTCTTCCTTGTCCATCTCGATGTTGGGCGTTCTCAGATTATGAAGTTTGTATGTGGAGGATGATCAAAGGGATGATCAACGTCGATACCATGGGGACAACCTCGAACCCAACTATGATGTTGGCGATTATGCAAGGTCCAAAAGAGTGTGTTACATCTATGCCTACTTTTCCTCCTCATTGCCCTCTCCTCCATGGCGTCAATATCGAGCTTATTATCAGCTCGACCCCCACCACCACCATCAAAGACGGCATCTAAACGTCATTTATCTCAGGAAGACGTTTCTCATCAAGCAGTTCAACCGTCGAAGCGGTCTCATGTTCCTTCGGTACCATCTTCCTCCATATCGCAACCGAGGGCATCTCACGCCCGGTCTTCTCGTCAAAGCGCTTCTTCAAAAATTTCTTATCTGCCTAAAACAGATGCTTTGGCACTGATTTCTCGAGCTCCAGCCCATGTTTCAAGAAGTCATCCTCTCTCGCCTTCTCCACCTCTTTCTATTGCAAGAGGTTCTTCCGTATTGTCTGTCTCTGAACAGGATCCACTTTTAGAAGCTTCAGGGGAATCTTCTTCAAATTTTCCAACTCCTGAGTCAGATATTCCTGATCTACATTGTCCATCTCCATCTGAGGACTTTACCTCGTACTTGCAGTTGATTCTCCACATGGCTAAATCCTTGGAGCTTGATATAGAACCCCCTCCTCCCAAGCAGGACCTCGTCTTTGACAATATTAAGCAATATAAGTCTCCCTCATTGAGTTTGGCTTTCATTCCAGCTATGCTGGAATTCATAAAAGAATCATGGCCTCCCACCAACATCTCACCTGACCAATTTGTAGCCTTAATCAACCTCATAAAAGAATCATGGCCTCCCATCAACATCTCACCTGACCAATTTGTAGCCTTTTTAAAATCAAAAGTGGAAGCCATCCACTGGGATCTTACCTCCTATTTGAAAACAGTGGATTGAGCTGAGATGACCAGCGCTCTGTCTTGTCCAATGAGACTCATCCACTCTTGAAAACAGTGGATTGAGCTGAGACGACCAGCACTCTGTCTTGTCCAATGAGACTCATCCACTTTCAGCTTGTGATGTCAGGCATGGTGGACAGAATGCTTGACTGCTGTTGTGCCACCACCTCCTCCTCCCTTGACACTTGCCCAGTCTGGCTAATCAAAGCAGCCAGGCCTATAACATCTGAATGGGCTACGACAATAATTAATGGGTCTCTCCAGGAGAGCAAGGTTCCCCTTGCCCTCAAGGAGGCACTCATTAGGAAGAAACCGAGCTTGGTGGCGCACGATATTGGTAACTAGGCCCATTGCCAAAGTTTCTTTCCTCAACATGGTAGTTGAGAGGGTGGTGGCTGATCAGTTGCAGGCTCTTCTGGATGTAACCAATGACCTGGATCCAGTCCAGTCAGGTTTCAGGCCACACCACAGCATGGAAACAGCATTGGTCGCCCTGTTTGGTGACCTACTGAGGGAGGCCGAAAGGGGCAAAATGTCTCTGCTGATAGTCCTCGATATCTCAGCTGCCTTTGATACCATGCCTCCGGAGGTCCCTCTCACCGCCAATCGTGCCTCCGTCTGCTTCCATGGCCCACGTAAAGGCTCTCCTACTTCCTCACAAACGATTTCTAGGTGGATCGTGCCTACTCTTCCCTTGGCCTATGAACTGGCTGGCAAAGCTCCACCAGAGGCATTAAAGGCGCATTCTACAAGAGCTATGGCTACTTCAACTGCCTTATTGCATGACATTGATGTTTCTGACATTTGTCGAGCAGCCACTTGGTCCACACCATCAACCTTTGTGACAAAGTACCGTCTGGATCTCAGGGCCAAGAAGGAAGCAAATTTTGGAAGGGCTGTACTGACACTGTTATCATGACAGCCCTCCTGCCGGTAAGTGAGCTTGCTAGTCACCCATTTGTGTGCATTCACAGAAGCCACAAAGAAGAAAGGAAGGTTACTTACCTGTAACCATGGTTCTTCGAGCAATCCTTTGTGAATACACACATCCCACCCATCGTCCCTGCTCTCCGTCACTTTGGTTCTTGAGCTTTGTTACAGTCAGACATTTTGGAACTGAGGTATTACGGGCAGGCGGAGCATGCACATCATGGAGAAACGTCACACTAATCACGTTTTTGAGCTCTAAAATATTCCTAGGAGACCTGCGCAGGCACAATCTAAACCCATTTGTGTGGATTCACAGAGGACCACTCAAAGAACTATGGTTACAGGTACGTAAACTTCCTTTTCTGTAGAGATCTGTGGATCACCAACACACCAAATCAGCCATCTTAGATGTCAGGCATGGCTGGTACACCAATAATAATCCCTATCTGTGGCTCTGGCTCAACACCAGGTGTAGACAGACATTAAAATCATCCAAAACAAGAGGTTTCTCATGGAGGCGTTAAAGCTATTACTGGCCACAGTTCCTCCCCTTCACTGACCCTCCAATCCAAGGATGGTGCTGCACAGTCTGCTAAATTGGAAAAATTTTGGTCAGATTCATTGTTCATGCTGCTCATGGATCAATCCTTCACTTGTGCACATGGTTAATGCTTAAGGCATAAAAAACTGTGCAGGTATTAAATAGCATTGTCACCAGAACAGAGGGCCCTATAGTCAGGCAACCAGATGTGAGAGGTTAGACAGAATGAGCTAGGAGCAGCTCACAAATGCCTGCCTTCTCTGATAACCTATCTTATCTTCCATGTCAAGTCTCCCACTGCTCATAGTCATAGTAGTAGTAGCAGTGCCGTTATATTTCATGCCTGTGCACATGCTAACCCAGCTGTCAACTCAATAAACATCCAGCATTTCCACATTATTGCCATTTAAGCAGTTTTCAAAGCAGTGTTGGTCTTTTCAGTAAAACATCTGACATACTGATGACATCTTTATCTTTTGAACTTGTGGGAAATAATCACTTGGGAAATTCTATAGGAACTTCAATTCACTTTGACATTTACCTGAGCCTAGACTAGTCTACGGAACAGGTGCACTTTTCCAGGTACCACATTATATTGAAACCCACTGGTCATTACACATAAATACTTGCTGCCAGCTTCCACCTAGAAGACATCATAAAATCTATGTTTCCCCAAAAATAAGACAGGGTCTTATATTAATTTTTGCTCCAAAAAACACTTTAGGGCTTATTTTCAGGGGATGTTTTATTTTTTTCATGTACAACAATCTACATTTATTCAAATACAGCCATGTCATCTGGTTGCTGCACAATGGTCGAGGATGGAGTTTCACCTAACTCGGGCTTATTTTTGGGGTAGGGCTTATATTACAAGCATCCTGAAAAATCATACTAGGGCTTATTTTCAGGTTAGGTCTTATTTTCGGGGAAACAGGGTATTGTCTATTCAAGTCTTCCAATGTAGCTACATCTGCTAGGATCCAGAAGACAGACTCTGAACTCATGGATTTACAGCAGGTATGTCTTAAACTACAGTACCCAATAGGAAGAGAAAATAAAGATGTCCAAAATAATTAATTATAAAGGAAAACCAAAAGAGAAACAGGCTATTACCCCTTCCTATAAGTCCCAAGTAAAGCCACACAGATCAGTGATCTGTGGTCCATTGTGGACAATAATACTTTACTCCCACAGGCTCTGGTGGCTACCCATACTTGCCGTACCCACCAATCTTGAGTAATTATTGACACACAACACAGAAAGGAACAAAAACCTATGCACCACCTGTCCCCACATCTACTCTGGCAGCACATTCATGGGCCCCCAAAACACAGTGTTAGGAGCTCATTTGCTTGTCCATCTAATATAATTTATGTTACTCTGCTTGCCACATAGGATAAATAAGATAATCTTTATGATATGTAGGGCTGGTTACAAGGATCATTTAACCAATTACAGCAGCTCCACTGGCTGCTGACATTTCCATGTTGAATTCAGGGTGTTGGTTCTAATTTATAAAGCTAATAAATTGCTTGGGCCCAAGCTATCTCAAGGACCACATCTCCCTTTATGAGCCTGCTCAAATGGTATAATCAGAAGCCTTTTGCGCTGTATCACTACTTTCACAGGTACTGTATGTTTGGTGGATACGAGGGAGAGGGACTTCTTTGTTGCTACTCCCAGATTTTGGAACTCCCTCCTGCAAGAGGCCATCTTTGCTGCCCTTCCACAAGCAGGTGAAGACCTTTCTCTTCAGGCAAGCTTTTCCTGAGTGACTGGCTGCCCAAGTGGTTTTTTTAATGCATTGTTGTACCTTTACCACTTTGAATATGTTTCGATGTTGCTTGTATTTTTTGGACGGTACTTTTTTGTTCCTTTTCACACTGAGTATTTCACAATAAGTATTTGCACACTCATTGTTAGCTTTTAGATTGTCTTTTAATGATGAAGCCAAAAGATCTCCTGTATGGAGAATTAGTGTAGAGAAAGCGCCCCAGAGGGAGACCCCAGCTGTAATACAAGGATAGCTGCAAGCAGGATCTGAAGGCCTTAGGAATGGACCTCAATAGATGGGAAACCTTGACATCTGAGGCAGGCGGTGCAGCATGGCCTCTCCCAATTTGAAGAGACACTGGTTCAGCAGGCTGAGACAAAGAGGCAGTCCCAAAACCAGCAAAATCAAGGAGATGGACAGGGGACAGACTGTATTTGTCTTTAGTGTGGAAGGGATTGCTACTCTCAAATTGGCCTTCTCAGCCATACTAGACGCTGTTCCAAGACCTCTATTTAGAGCATGTTACCATATTCTCTTGAGACTGAAGGATGCCTACACATTATGAAGCCACTATGGGCCCTTTTAAGGAGAAAGGCTGGGCAAAAATATTTGAAATACTACTAATGTTATACTGCTACTGTGTGTCAGAAGTGACACAATACAATTAATAAATACATCAGGTGTTTGCCCAGTAGCTGGCAACATCAAGAGCATCTGGGGCAACTAACATCAAGTCTTCCATTGTACATATTAAGGGGCACAGAGGACGTTTACATGGCTGTGAAGTTGACTTCACACACTCAAAGAACTGTAGCAATGCAAAAACTCAATTTTATTAGATTTGCTTTGTTTCTCCCACTCCAGTATGTAGTCTATTAAGTGAATGGCAGGTTGGTACTAGAGCAAATCTTTCTGGAGAAAAAAAAAGAAAAAACTCAGGCCATCATAAGGCAAGATTATCTGGAAAAGGCAGTAGTTGAGAAGGGCTACTGAAGACATTTTTGAGATTGCTCATTCATAGGTCACCATAAGTCCCATGTGACAAACAGCAACACCAAAATAAAGTCAACAACTTGAATAGTTAAGGTACAACACAGTAATCTCTCTCATATGGCCCTAATACCCATTAGTGTTTTGCAGGAATGATATAATTCATGCTCAACTGCAACCCTGCTACACACAATACAGAAATGGCAGGATGATTTTAAAATTTAATTTTACTCAGCTTCTGTACATTAAAACAATTATTTGGAATTAAATATAGCCTAAGCTAAGAGGGCTATGAATGGCAATCACTGCCATTATATGGTTTTTTGGACTTCATAATCTATTGTCTGATCACAGCTACATGAACATCCTAGAGTGTTCAATTTCCATGGGCAGTAATATTTTTTATATGAGAGTTGATTAAAATGAGCCCCTTCTGCAGGCAGAACTGTCAGCTTACATTTAGCTGCATTACCTGCTTTTCTCTCTCAGAATAATCAAATGGGTTTCTAAACACAAATAATCCTATATGATTATTTCTCACAAAATGAGCAATACCTGAACATTTAGTCTCATATTTCAAATTCTGCATGTGCTACAACTTGCTCTTGTTTGAAAGCTGGGAATCTGGATTAACTTTTAAACTCCTGAGACAGTAGTTCCCTTAGCCCTTGAGTTAATTCTACCTTGCACAGCTCTACTTATTTCAAGTCACATTAAAAATTTAGACGAAATGTTCAAGCACTATCCAAAGTTTATTAAACTACAAGGGCTTCTACGTATAGACAAGCATTTACAAAGCCATAGGTGCAACAATAAGGAAAAGAATGAATTACTAAATCCTTGTGGAAATACTTTTATTATAGTACATATCAGGCTCTTGCCTTCATAGGGGAAAAATGGGTTCCAACATTTCAAACTAACAGCGGATTCCCATGCCAATTGCCATAAATGTTCCAAAGGTTCCACCACTCTGCATCATGGTTTTGCCAACACCACCCATCAATTCTCGTCCTCTCATTCCGATCCTAAAAGTAAAGTAATACAGTATTACACAAGGTTTATACTCCACAATTAGAGGAGGAAATTAATATTTAGTATCCAATGACTAATGAATATATTGATTTGAAAGCCATCAAGAATTTAAGCTTATGTTCTGGAATGAACTGCAGAGGAACATAGTTCAAAGTAAACAGGATATGTGCAAGCCATGGGAAGCCTGCGGCATTTTAACAATCTCACATAAGATTTCAGTTTATGAACTAGGCAATAAACAACCCCAAACAACTATAATGTTATAATTCCAAGAAAGAATAAAATACAATATTTATTTTGCCTTTGAAGTGGTAAGAATGCACTGAAGACACAAATGGTATATTGTTTTATTCTATGGCTTAACTGATTTATTACCTATTTTTTTGTTATGATCTGCAAAAATTTGTTAAAAGGAAAACTGAATATTTTGCATGCTATTGTATTTATGACCTATGTAATTGGCATTAATTAGGATTAAGTCAGATCTATTAATGTTCATCTGGAAATAAATTTCACTGTGTTCCACAGGCCTTATTCTCAAGTATAATCAGGATTTTATTCTCAGTCTGTTTGGCAACACATAATTCAAGGCAGAATACAGTAACATATAAGCATAAAGAATTGCGAAAAGATAAATGTGCATCATATTTAGATTACTGTCTAATCAGTGAAACTCTGATGAGCTGATAGTGATTGTAAAGAAGGAAATTTCCAATATTTATGTTGCATGCAACAGCAGTAGTCTTTCTCCTACATACCTGAGGCAAGAAAATGTACCAAAAAGTGCACCTGCTGCCATGCCAACAGCAAAGCCCATCATGATGCAAAAACTCAATTTTATTAGATTTGCTTTGTTTCTCCCACTCCAGTATGTAGTCTATTAAGTGAATGGCAGGTAACTCAGTTTTCTGTGTGACTAGGAGCTACACTTATTTATTCCATCAATTTTAAGAGGTGGGTAGTTTGTATTTGAAATAGTTTGAGATTTTATATACCTTGGTTTAATAATCAATCCAAATGGATACTTCATTGAAGAAATAATAATAAAAGAGATTCGAAACAGCAAAAAAAGAACTAGGAAAAAATCAAGTGTAAGGTTATGTCACTAGAGATAAAGATTATCCACACTCTAGTATTCCTGATCACCGTGTATGGGCATGAAATCTGGATAGTAAAGAAAGCTGACAGGGAAAAATGTTTTGTTTGAAATATAGTGCTGGACGAATGTTTTGCAGCTACTCTGGACCACCAGAAAGATTTACAACTGGGTCCTAGAGCAAATCTGTCTGGAGAAAAAAAAAGACAAAACTCAGGCCATCATAAGGCAAGATTATCTGGAAAAGGCAGTAGTTGAGAAGGGCTACTGAAGACATTTTTGAGATTGCTCATTCATAGGTCACCATAAGTCCCATGTGACAAACAGCAACACCAAAATAAAGTCAACAACTTGAATAGTTAAGGTACAACACAGTAATCTCTCTCATATGGCCCTAATACCCATTAGTGTTTTGCAGGAATGATATAATTCATGCTCAACTGCAACCCTGCTACACACAATACAGAAATGGCAGGATGATTTTAAAATTTAATTTTACTCAGCTTCTGTACATTAAAACAATTATTTGGAATTAAATATAGCCTAAGCTAAGAGGGCTATGAATGGCAATCACTGCCATTATATGGTTTTTTGGACTTCATAATCTATTGTCTGATCACAGCTACATGAACATCCTAGAGTGTTCAATTTCCATGGGCAGTAATATTTTTTATATGAGAGTTGATTAAAATGAGCCCCTTCTGCAGGCAGAACTGTCAGCTTACATTTAGCTGCATTACCTGCTTTTCTCTCTCAGAATAATCAAATGGGTTTCTAAACACAAATAATCCTATATGATTATTTCTCACAAAATGAGCAATACCTGAACATTTAGTCTCATATTTCAAATTCTGCATGTGCTACAACTTGCTCTTGTTTGAAAGCTGGGAATCTGGATTAACTTTTAAACTCCTGAGACAGTAGTTCCCTTAGCCCTTGAGTTAATTCTACCTTGCACAGCTCTACTTATTTCAAGTCACATTAAAAATTTAGACGAAATGTTCAAGCACTATCCAAAGTTTATTAAACTACAAGGGCTTCTACGTATAGACAAGCATTTACAAAGCCATAGGTGCAACAATAAGGAAAAGAATGAATTACTAAATCCTTGTGGAAATACTTTTATTATAGTACATATCAGGCTCTTGCCTTCATAGGGGAAAAATGGGTTCCAACATTTCAAACTAACAGCGGATTCCCATGCCAATTGCCATAAATGTTCCAAAGGTTCCACCACTCTGCATCATGGTTTTGCCAACACCACCCATCAATTCTCGTCCTCTCATTCCGATCCTAAAAGTAAAGTAATACAGTATTACACAAGGTTTATACTCCACAATTAGAGGAGGAAATTAATATTTAGTATCCAATGACTAATGAATATATTGATTTGAAAGCCATCAAGAATTTAAGCTTATGTTCTGGAATGAACTGCAGAGGAACATAGTTCAAAGTAACCAGGATATGTGCAAGCCATGGGAAGCCTGCGGCATTTTAACAATCTCACATAAGATTTCAGTTTATGAACTAGGCAATAAACAACCCCAAACAACTATAATGTTATAATTCCAAGAAAGAATAAAATACAATATTTATTTTGCCTTTGAAGTGGTAAGAATGCACTGAAGACACAAATGGTATATTGTTTTATTCTATGGCTTAACTGATTTATTACCTATTTTTTTGTTATGATCTGCAAAAATTTGTTAAAAGGAAAACTGAATATTTTGCATGCTATTGTATTTATGACCTATGTAATTGGCATTAATTAGGATTAAGTCAGATCTATTAATGTTCATCTGGAAATAAATTTCACTGTGTTCCACAGGCCTTATTCTCAAGTATAATCAGGATTTTATTCTCAGTCTGTTTGGCAACACATAATTCAAGGCAGAATACAGTAACATATAAGCATAAAGAATTGCGAAAAGATAGTAGTGCATCATATTTAGATTACTGTCTAATCAGTGAAACTCTGATGAGCTGATAGTGATTGTAAAGAAGGAAATTTCCAATATTTACGTTGCATGTAACAGCAGTAGTCTTTCTCCTACATACCTGAGGCAAGAAAATGTACCAAAAAGTGCACCTGCTGCCATGCCAACAGCAAAGCCCATCATGAAACCCATTTTCACTCTGTCAAAACAACTGGGCTGGGACTGGCCATACGGCCCCACCGTCACAGGCATCTAGGCAGATAGATAAATATGTATATATATATATATTAACAAAGCACAGAAAAGATATGTATTGCTTTTATGTATGACAAAGTTCTAATTTCCAATCTGGAGGAAACATCTAAAAGTGACTATTGTTCAAAAAATTATCTTACTTGAAAAGAGTGTTTATCATGAGTGGCTTTGGTGAACCCTTTCTATAGCAAGATTTTAATTAAAAACAGTTCTCCAATACAATAAGTAAAACGCATACTTTAAGGACAATGTATGTGCAAATGGCAGAGCTATCTATTTGTAAACAAAGTCACAGTACTTAAACTGCAACTCCAAAATTAACTTTCTACATATTTTATTCAAAAGTGATTTACTATTTTATTTAAAAGCCCAAATCCACTGGGTTGTCCCAGCTAAAGCAGACACACTGGATCAATGAGATTTACATAAGTATTGTCTCAATATTCAGCAACTGATTTTGGGACTATAAATTTGATTTAGGCCAAAAACTAAATTTAAAGGAGATAATCCTGTGTTTAGACACTACAGTACTTGACAAAAAGAGACTGCCAACAAAGGGATTTAAAAATTTGTCTAGAGCACATATCCTGCTAGAATATCCTTGCACAAAGAGTGCTACTGGCCTAACAATCATTTAGTAACTTGACATTTCTGTCGGGCAATACAATATGGACATTCAATGTAGGGATGCTTACACTACATTTAGACTGAGGAACTGCATTTAATTCTAAATGAAAAGCAACATGTTTAAATCATTTTGTATGCATATCTACAATAATTTCCTCTTATTGACAGTGGAAATTTTTGATTAATGTATTTATTTAAAACATTTCACCCTGCCTTTTTCCTTAAACAGGACCCAAGGCAGCATACATCCTTGAAAGACAATATTTAAAGCTGAAAACAGCAAGTATACAACAGTGGTTTACATCACTAAAAGACAGTGTTTAAAGCTAAGAATCGTGAGCATAAAGAGGTAGTTTACAAAATTAAAAGACAACACTAAAGCTAAAACAAATATGCAAATACTAAAAAAGAACAAGCAAGTACTACTCTGAGATATGGTAAATACAAGTAGTACTAAAAACCCAGTCAGCAGCAACGGCTAACAATCCATCTAAAAGTTACTCAGGAATTAAAGGTAAGAGAGAAAAGCAACATGTTCAGACTGTCGAGTACATATATTATATTTTCGCTTCTATAGGGAGCTGAAACACTTTCATTTAGTGACTCTGAAGGAGTTAACGGTAAGAGAAAACAGACAATACCAGTCCATAAATGAACCAGAGATCGTTATTTTTTTTTTAAAGCCAGATATGGTTGTTGTGGGTTTTTGGGGCACTTTTGCCGTGTTTTGAACCTTCAGAATACGGCCAAAGAGCCCGAAAAACCCACAACCACCATCAGATCCCGGCCATGAAAGCCTTCGAGAATAAAAATTCAGATATATTCAAGGATAAGGTCCTCAGGATTTTAGAATTTTCCTGCAAACCTCTGAGGTCGTTGAAATATCTCACATTCGCGTGTAAGCGCCTGTGTTTCTGCCATGTTTGCTCACTGGTTGCCAGAACCGTGTAAAAGTACAAAGTCTAACCTTACGGTGGTGGTGGGGAGACGGTTGTATCGCCACGGCACCCAAAGACCCATCATCCCCACCTATCAAAGAGCCCATTCTGAAACGTCCTGTTTACTGACAACCAAAATTAGTACTCGCTGAGAAACACACTTCCCCCCGCACCCTTCTTTATTTCGCTCACCTCGTTCGCCTCAAACTCAGCCTGTCCAAAATTTTTCTCCGCGGGGCCTGGACTTCCGTCGCTCTCTGATGACGTTACAGGAAACCGCTCCGGGCAAGAGAGAAGACTTCGGCGGCGCCGTTCCTGGTGTCTCTGAATGTGTTGCGTAAAGGGAAGAGAAAGCAAGGAGTAACGATGCTGGTGTTTCGAGCCGCGCGGTTGCGGGCTCTGCGAGGGCTGGTGGTCTTCCAAACAAGGCAGCAGCTTTCGGGGCTTGCCGGTGCACAAGGTAACAACCCCCCCCCCTTGAGTCCTAGGAGGACAAACCCGTCTGGACCTCAGGTGGCTCCCGAGTGTGGTTCTTTTTTTAAAAGAAGCTCTTTTCTCACGTTAGGTAACAGTAGCTGCGCAGTATTTTTCCTGTTCTGGGTTTCGACCTGAAGTGGTTTTACCGTAATTTGGAAGCAGTTTTGGCTGATAATAGAAGTAAAGATAGATTCTAGATTGTGGCACATGATGTATTCTTAAAGCATAAAATCAAATTATTTAGCTTATGGCCAGTTAGACCCTCCGGAGTCACGATTAGTTTGCATATGCATAGATGGCTCGATCGCAGCAAGCGAAAGTGCAACAGTTACACCTCCTTGTGGGGCAATGATCTGTACTTTCTCTCCCGCCAGCTACAGTAAATGGCACTGCGGGTGTGCTCTAGTATTGCGATACTAGTGTAGTGGGGCATAGAGTTGAGATTATAGCCATTGTAGAATTTGCAGCAGTCTCAGATAGCTTTACCTCTGCAGCTTTAATTAGAACTCAGTGCTCTTCATCTGAAGAAAAATATATATGAAAATTAAAGCAAAACATGCTGCTTATATACCTCCCCATAGCATTTAAAATACACTCTGAGGAATTTACAATTTAATTATGCAGGCCTCACCCACCCAATGAGCCAGGTACTCAATTTACTGACCTCAGAAAGATGGAAGGCCGAGCCAAACTTGAACCAGTTTCGTGAGCCCATTGAGATTGAACCCAAGTTGTGAGCAGAGTCTTGATTGTAATACTGCAGTTTAACCACTACAGTGAAAATATGGCAAAACAGGAAAAATATTGTATTTTGCTTGAAAGAAGCTGCTATAACTGCCCAATCAGCCTAATACTGTGTAATTTGCACTGGAGATCAATTCTGAAAGTCAAGTATGATGACTAAATATTTAACTGAAAGTTAAAGCTTTAAAGAAAATATAATAGCTTTAAAGAAAAGTGATTGAAAGAATATGTAAATCTTTAATATCTGTATTTAAATTATAACACACGTGGTGGGTTAAATTATAAGCTCTGTGTCCATGCCAACAATTGGCTTAATTTTTGCATAGACCTGAGAGGTGAAAAAATGTTGGTGTGGTCTTGTACATTTGTATTTATCACTCACATGGTTGTATTTCTCTAGGCAAAAGTAACATTGATGAATCTTCTCTTCGGCCATTGTACATGGATGCCCAAGCAACTACTCCTATGGTTTGTAAACTGCTTACTTACTTAGGGTTATTTAAAAACCAACAGCAACAGTGAAAGAAAATACCTGTACAGTGGTGCCCTGCAAGACGAAAAACTTGCTAGACGAATGGGTCTGGCGAGGGTTTTGGTGCCTCACAAGACAATTTTTCCTATGGCCCTGTTTCGCAAGATAAAGCCCCAAGAGGCTTCTGAAAGCAGTGCTTTGCTGAGGGGTGGGGTGGGTTGGGGTGTGTGTACTCTTCTCCGCTCCCACCCCGCCTCACAGCTGATTGGCGCAGGGTGTCAGAGGCTTCTCCGGGCTTTCCCAGCAGGTAAACAGGCAGTGGAAATGCACCCGGGGAAGCCTCTAAAGCAGCGCTTTGCTGGTGGGGTGGGTAGGTGGCAGGGACAAGCCTGCCCCCCGGCCTCCCCTTGTGGCAAAGTGCTGCTTTCAGAAGCTCCTGGGGCTTGTTCAGCAGTGGTAAAGCACCCAGAAGGCTTCTCAAAGCGACGCTTTGCCAAGGGGGGTGCGGGGGTGGTGGCGGGCCTGCCTCTGCCACCCCCGACAAAGCACCGCTTTCAGAGGCTTCCCAGGTGCATTTCCACTGCCGGTTGACCTGCTGGGCAACCCCGGGGGAGCTTCTAAGACCCAGCGCAGATCAGCTGTGAGGCGTGCAGGGGGAGGGGCTGGAGCGGAGAAGAGCACAAAATGGCTTCTGGCTCCCTGCTGGCTGCCGGCTCTAAGCTGTTTGGTGCTCTTTTTCCTGCTCCTCTGGGGCTACCAAGGCACTGTGAGGAGCCGGGCTCGGTCTACAGTACCTGGTAAGTGACTTTATTTTCATTTTTTTGTTTTGGACTTTTTTCCCTCCATAGGAATGCATTAATTAAATTTCAATGCATTCCTATGGGAAACCGTGCTTCGCAAGACGAAATTTTCGCTAGACGGCATTAACCGTGGAACGGATTAATTTCGTCTTGCGAGGCACCACTGTATTTACAGAGCAGATCTATATATGTTTACCCATATTTAAGTTCTATCAGCTGGCTAGCTCAAGTGACTTAGAGAATTGGGTGTTTCAACCAAAGGTTGATTCTCCGAGAAAAAGAATCAGCCTGTGTGGCCTTGGGGAAAAAAAATCACTATTTCCAGAGCGCCATCGGAAAAAGAGTCTGGTGAATCAGTTTTAAATACTTGATACCTGGAAAACTCTATGAAGGATAATCACAACTGAGAAATTACTTAACAGCACATAATTATTCCACTGTATTCAGCGGTATTGTCAACTGAATTTACAGTCCTAACAGAAAGATGTGCCAACTTAGGCAGAAGCTTCTTGTGCCAGGAAAATTTCCATTGTGCTGGAAGAACCTTATCTATACTACATGATTTCAGGGATCTACCAGTGGAAGAATTAATCTGGTTCTTGTTATGACTTCATCAGAGGAGCTGAGGAAGGGGCAGAGTAAGGGAGAAGCTGAGTTGCACTTGATCCAAATTTCCTGCATCTCAGTGACACAGCTACTGAGACAACATAAAGTTAGACCTAAGAAATCAACAACATTCCAAGCTGGGGTGGGCGGGTTGCGTCAGTTCAGCAAGCCCTCAATTACCTTAGCTAATTAGAATTGCTTTATAAGTGTACATACATAGGATAGCAGTTAGAGTTTCTTGTATAAAGTGTACCTGTTAGCTATGATTGTATAGAAATTATGTTCAATCTGGTAACAAAAGAAAACAACGGAATGTGTTTGATATTAATTATATTTGCTCAGAAATACATCTGATTTTATGTGTGCATGTAAGAAAGCTATGCTATTCTTGGCTTTGGGGAACTAAAACTATATGTTACTGAAATGTTTAAAAAGAAAATTAATTGAAATAGGGTAATTCTGTAACTGGTATTCTAGGACCCCAGGGTGCTGGACAGCATGTTGCCTTACCTTGTGCATTACTATGGGAACCCACATTCTAGAACTCATGCTTATGGCTGGGAGAGTGAATCTGCCATGGAAAAAGCTAGACAGGTGAGGTTTCTGCATTGTTTTACAACTTGATTATAAATCTGCCCCTACTGTGTTATTCAATATTCTGTTCTAGACAGTTTTACAAAAAAATTGTGAAGGGTTTCTATTTCTGTTTCAAATGCTGCAATGTATATCTGTCTTCCTTTTTTATAGCAAGTTGCATCACTAATAGGAGCAGATCCAAGAGAAATTGTTTTTACCAGTGGAGCAACAGAGTCAAACAATATAGCAATAAAAGTAAGTGGATTAATGGTCATGTGTGGTGATGCTCTTAAACACCTATACGCATCAGACAGCATTCCATGGTGACTGAGTGCTCTCAGTACTTTTTGTGCTATTAAGGATTTATTCCTCTGTTGGAGATTTTTCTGAATCTAAATTTTTAAACTTAATTCAGACACTGTTTTTTTTCAGACAGCTCCTGATTATTGTGAGTGCTGTTATTTTGATTACACGAGATTGAGTGTTCTCATCAAAAATTGATGTGCTTGCATGTGCACACACAGAGAGACATTTAACTGTGTAAGATTTAGCTATATGATCAGTGCCCTAGATTGCAATCTTAACATGCTTAGGTTCAAATGTGACATATGCAGGACTAAACTGGCAAAGGTAGAATACTTTCTGTGCAGGCGTACGTATGACTTTATTTTTATTAGGAAGTAAGTCCTACTTCACTCCACTTTTCTCTTGTGAAAGGTGCATAGGATTGCATTGTTTGTTGTGTTAGCTTTTTGCCTTCTTTAGAACAGTCTGGCTAAAGGTGATCAGTTTCTAAACAACAACCAAAACAAAAGTATTGTGGTACCTTTAAGATTTACCAAATTTAATTCATTGTGAGCTTTGGTAAATTATAATCCACTTGTTCAGACACATCCTGCTAATTTGATGTGTCTGAAGAAATGAATTCTGATCCAGAAAAATTCAAGTTTAAATAACTATATTAGTTTGAAAGCTACCATAAATACTCTTGTTTTTCTTTTGTTTTTCACTAAAATGGACTCAGCATGACTGTCTCTGGGAAAATTGAATAAGGTTTAAATGGTTTGTTGTAAATTAGACTTAATTCTTTCTGAGTTTTGTTTCAAATTATTATGCAAAGAAGACTTAAATTAAATACTTGGAATTGCCAGATTGGTTCCTCATTTCAGGACTCCCTTCAGCAATTTGCAGCAGTTTCTGAGAGTACAAGTATTTTTACTGATAAAAATATTTTATAAAGCAGGGGTTCCCAACCTTTTTCACCCCGTGGACCATCTGGGGAAGGCGGGACACCCACCCACCCCACACTCATGCGTATGCACAAACGCAAAACAGTGGTCCTTGTGCGGGGGCACGTTCGGTCGTGCACATGCACAAATGGCATGACGCTCGCACGGACACGCTGGAGCATATGCACAAATCAGCTGTGCCAGGGTGAGTGCACGCGGGGGGGGCAGAAGGTCTGTCTCCGTGGCCCAGTCCAGCTCAGGCCATGGACCGGCACAGGGCTGCGGACCGGGGGTTGGGGACCCCGGTATAAAATATGAATTATAGATGAAATGTCAATTTGACTGCTACTTTTGTGGGACAATTATGTTTATTTTAGATAGTATAGTATGTTCTTCTGAGCTTCAGGAGAACTTGCATGTAAATATGTATAGGAATTCAGTCTGAGGCAGTCTGTTCCACAGATGCTTAGCAGTACATCCCTCTGAGCTCATTGGGATCTGTTTCTGAAGAAGGACGCTTTATGCTCTTATTTGTGGTTACCGGAATATCAGGGTAACATGGCATTTCACACTTGTGACATGCTTTATAGCCTTTTAAAAAATTAATTTCTTTTTTTTTTCATCCACATCAAGGGTGTTGCAAGATTCTATAAATCCAGAAAGAAACATATAATTACGACACAAACTGAGCACAAGTGTGTGTTGGATTCTTGTCGAGCCCTAGAAGCTGAGGGCTTTCGAGTAACATACTTGCCTGTAAAGAAAAATGGGATTATAGATTTACAGGTAAATAATCTTTGTGAGGGGTACACTGTGGTGTTGTAGATAGTGATGGAATAAGACTTGAAAGGGCTGGGTTCAAATCCACACTTAGCTGTGGAAACTCACTGGGGTTGTAGAATTGGTAAAGCCACTCCTTAGACATCTCACTATTAGGGTTGTCTAAAAGCCCTATTAGGGTTGCTGAATGTCAGTTCCAACTTGGCAGCATATAACAATCTTTGTGAAAAGTGTTGCTTTATATTTCTTTTTTGTTCTTTAGCTACATTAAAAGCAAGCAAATGGATCTTCCATTTACTATATTGTTACTTAGCGAATTGCTAAAAATGTATTTTCCCTAGTAGAAGAGGCAAAAGCTTATACTTCTGTTTTTATGTTAATTGGACAAAACTGGATCAAATTTGTAAGTGCCATTTAAAAAAAGGTTTTCCCTATTGTATCTTGCTAAACGAAGATTAAAATCTTTTTTATTTAATTCGGTGTCATATAGTTGTACAAGTTCAAATGAATATATCTCACTGAATATAATGAGACTGATTTCTAAGTGAACATATGGTGGAGTTAACATCAAAGCTTTTTTTAAAAGCAGACTATTTATTGCATGCATTTCAACCCTAAGAAAGATCTCTAAGCAGCTTAAGCTTAAAAATAGGCAGCCAACAAACCTGAATAGCCAGTATCCAGAGGGCTTATGCAATGTGGTCTTATGCAAGTTAAACACAAGCTTTTGAGCCACCCTGGATACCTCAAAAGTGTCCCCTCAGGGCTAGGAGAAAGGGATTATAACTAAAAGGGATTTTTCCAATCCTTTTGGTTCCTAAAGAAAAATATCAAAGATTTGTCTATGTGCACAAATGTCTTGACTTCCCGCCCATTAATTTTATTGCAACCTAATCAAGCATAATAGTTTATTGATTGCATGAAAATTTAAAAAGTAGAAACACTGTCATGTGTCACTCTACCCCCCCCCCCGTTTGCTCTGTTGTTTGTGTTCTGTAATACTCTTCTTTTATAGCAATCAAATACAATTGTGATAAAACACACCCCCAAATTTAAAAAAAAGGCTTCTAGGGGTTATAATAGTCTCATTTAATTCTTTGAGGAGGTCTGCCCAAAACATGTTCTAGGCCCACAGACACCTTTTTTTTCAAAACTGAAAGTGATTGGGCTGCCCTGTTCCCACTCTTGTTTCCAAAAGTAGAATTCATTTGCACTGTTTTTGCAGCTTGAGTTACTTCTTAATTTTATATGATTTCAACCAGGAACTAAAAGATGCAATACAGCCAGACACAAGCTTGGTTTCTGTAATGACTGTGAATAATGAAATAGGAGTAATACAGCCAGTTGAAGACATTGGTAAGTATACAGCAATGCTAAATGCAATATAAATACAGTAATAGTTTAAATAAATAAACAATCAACACCCAATACATAGAATATGCACTTCTGTCTTCAACAGATCTGGAGTTAGGGGCACTAGATCCCTGTGTAGTTCAAAATCTGTGTATAACTCTTATGCTCCCAAAAACTTAACTATAAAGCATAAAGAGTTAGATGAACACACCTGCCAATTCCATAGTATTGACTTTCTTTCCATATAGTACTGTGTTTAATGAGCCTTAAAGGTCCTGATCTAGTGGCTGTTTCATGGTAGAAATGTTGTGTTTGGGGGGAAATAGACCATTTCAACACCTTTGGTGCTGAACTCATCGAGTTTTGGTGGCCAGGAGCACAGTATTTATTGAATCTCTCTCTCCACAAATGAATGAATGGATGTTTGTTGGAAAAAATCCATGTACCAAAGAGTCTTTGGTAAATAAATACATACATTCTATTAATTTAGTGGTTGTACTCCAGTTGGCATAACTTTACGCTGTGCAACAAGGATGATGTCATAACTGGGCAAGGTTACTTTTTATTTCAATTTAATTTAAAACTCCCTTCCTTTCCTTCAGGTTCTGAGACTCCCTAAGGATCCCTTTTGCCTAGAGGAAGCCTTTGTGTACATGTAGCCCCAAGGCCACCTGTATAACACTTCCATTTCAAAATACAAAAAAAGGACTGAAAAAAGGGCCATTCCATGGCAGGGTTGGTGAGGCAAGATTTGGCCCCAAGCCCATTGATGTTGTCTGCCCTGTTCTTCTAAGATATAAGCCTTCAAATTTTTGTTGTTGTTTAATCGTTAAGTTGTGTCTGACTCTGTGACCTCATGGACCAAAGCACACCAGGCCCTCCTGTCTTCTACTGCCTCCCAGCGTTGGGTCAAATTCATGTTGGTAGCTTCAATGACACTGTCCAACCATCTCATCCTCTGTCATCCCCTTCTTCTTTTGCCCTCACACTTTCCCAACATCAGGGTCTTTTCCAGGGAGTCTTCTCTTCTCATGAGATGGCCAAAGTATTGGAGCCTCAGCTTCAGGATTTGTCCTTCCAGTGAGCACTCAGGGTTGATTTCCTTCGGAATGGATAGGTTTGTTCTCTTTGCAGTCCAGGGGACTCTCAAGAGTCTCCTCCAACACCACAATTCAAAAGCATCAGTGCTTCGGTGGTCAGCCCTCTTTATGGTCCAGCTCTCACTTCCATACATCGCTAGTGGAAAAACCATAGCTTTGACTATGCGGACCTTTGTTGCAAGGTGATGTCTCTGCTTTTTAAGATGCTGTCAAGGTTTGTCATGGCTTTCCTCCCAAGAACCAGGCGTATTTTAATTTCGTGGCTGCTGTCACCACCTGCAGTGATCATGGAGCCCAAGAAAGGAAAATCTGTTCCTGCCTCTATATCTTCCCCTTCTGTTTGCCAGGAAGAGATGGGACCAGTGGCCATGATCTTAGTTTTTTTGATGTTGAGCTTAAGACCATTTTTTCCACATTTTAGCCACATAAAAATAATGCCGCTTATTGAACTCAGTTGTTTTTGCATTACAGGTCAGATCTGCAGTTCTCATAAAATTTTCTTTCATACGGATGCTGCACAGGCAGTTGGAAAAATTCCTCTAGATGTCAATGAGATGAAAATTGATTTAATGAGCATCAGTGGCCATAAAATATATGGCCCCAAAGGTATTTATGTATTCAGATGTTAACACATTTTGTGTTTATGGTTGTTAAATATTGTCTGGGTTATTCATCTAGTTTTTCCAAATATAGTTTGGACAAACGTCTACTCCCTCTCAAGGCACGATGAGAAACTGAAACTATGGTACTTCAGGACGAATAAAAAAATATGATGTTTATTGCATATTATATGTAGCTATTGGGAACAGAGTTTTTATAGAAATAGCCTCAGATTCGTCTCTAGAATAAAAAGTATTAGCAGGCTTTATTTTAGAATTGTTACATTTATTTTTAAATATTAATTTAGACTATTGCTGGACTTCAGATAACTCATCAAAGTTAATAAATACAACTTTGGTTGTGCACTGATTTTAGTGTGGGAGAAGGCAGCCTATAAATGTGTTCAATAAATGTATTTACATTTTCTGCAGTTTCTTCTATATGTAGTGTTTATCTGAGCACTCAGTGGCTGAAATTGAGCAGTAAGTTGCAACTAAAGTAGGCCCATTGAATCAGTAGAACTTACGGAAGTTAACTCATCAGATTCCCACTGATTCATGGCCTACTCTAGTTGTGGCTTACTACTGAATTTCAGCCAGTGTGTTCAAGAAAAGATGTCAGTTTACACTATGCTGATGAGTACGAGTTTCAAATCTAAAATACACAATTATGTTTTACAGTTTCATTTTTTTATAGTAATCAGTGAAGATTTGCTGTGAGTTTCCCGCTTCTCTGTTATGCAACTTAGAACCAATATATTTCTGAATATAGAAGAAAAAAACAGTGAAATAGTGAAAAATAGCTGGCTACATTTAGTGTTAGTGATCTGTTTTATGTTGGTGAAAAAACTATATAAACCAATTAAAAAGTCTTCAGTTGTAATTCCTAGGACTTTTCTTGATCTCAGTTCCACTATTTATTTCTGCTGTAACAACCCTTGCAGCAATCATGTGAAGTTTAGTGAGATAACAGCTATAAAGTATTGTTTTACATTTCAAAATAGCAACCTAGATCCAGAGTTGTGCTAGCACACTAGGGCTTTTTTTCCTTCCTTCTGTGCCCCCATGGATATTACCAGAAACCTGCTCTAGAGGTCTTTCAAATGGCTACAGTGGTAAAAGGGAGACTGGCCACTTTCTAGTTCCACTGACAGATGTGGTGGTGTTACTGGAATTACCCCACTTGATCCTACCCATGTTCTTTGAATTTTTGTGTAAACTACTTCTGTATGTTCATGCCAATAATGCACATTTTTATGCACATTGTTCTATTGTATTGGAATCAGAGAAGTCTCTTAAGTTGGAGAGTGACATTTCTAGAACTAGAATAAGTTACACTTGTCCTTTTATCTAGTACCATACAGCTTCTCTATAGCATATCAATGCAGGTACTACATTGAGCACTGTGACCGGAGTCTGCAGCAGAGTTGCTTGTCTTCAGCTAGTTGGTCACTGGATTGTGTTTATATGGATGCAGCAGTATGTGTGGCTGTCTGGACCACTGCTGCTTTGACATTATGTTGCTGGAATATTACTTCTGATTTGTGGAACGGAAAAAAATGCTGAGCCAGTATATTGCTTTTCTTGAAAGGATGATGGAGTGTATGGGGAGCGGAGGGTCAATATTTGAAGGACTAGCCTTCTAGTAAGACGTAGCAATTGAATATCCCAGGTTCAAAATACATTATTGTTTTTATTCTGATGACTAAAGATCTTCATGAGATAATCCTTCACGAGAAAAAAACATTTTGCATTTTCTAGAAACTTGCATTATGCAAAATACTCTGGAGTCTACAAAGTATAAGCAGAAACAATATTGCCTTTTTTTTAAAGGGATCGGTGCAATCTATGTTCGGCGGCGACCACGAGTGAGAATAGAACCTGTACAGAGTGGAGGAGGCCAAGAACGTGGATTACGTTCTGGGACTGTACCAACTCCTTTAGTAGTTGGTTTTGGGGCAGCTTGTGAATTAGCACAACAAGAGATGGAGGTATAAAGAGTGATTCAGTTTGGTTGTTGGCTGTCTTTGTGTTCGCATGTTTTTGACAGCATACAGTATGCATGGTAGACTGCAACACATCTCTCTAGATGTATAGACAAAGTATTTAGTATATTGTCTTGCTGTATACTGTACAAGTAGTTTTCTTAATATTCTTTGTTTTCTAAGAATATGTGGTGCTTAAATGAGTGAAATTTTGTTAGACAAAATTATGTGATTTTTTAAAAAGATTCATATTCACATTTATTTGCTGAGTGTTGTTTTCACATGTATCTTTTACCGCCACCAATTTTGGATTTACAGTGGTACCTTGACTTACGAACTTAATCCGTATTGGAATGGTGTTCGTAAGTCTAAACATTCGCAAGTGGAAGTCCATTTCCCATTGAAATGCATGGAAATGGGATTAATCTGTTCCAGCATTTCAAAAAAATACCAAATTAAAAAAAAACAGAGCAAGTCCCACACTGGGACTGCAAAAATAAATAAATAAATAAATAAATGAATAAATGAAAGCAAACAAAAATCAAAGTCAAAAACAACACAACACAGCACAGAAACATACCCCCCCCAGTCCAAACCCGCCCTCCAAAACCTGCCCAGAACATTTTTTTAAAAAGGACTTACCAGTCTGAAGCCTCCCAGCGCTCCGCTGCCTTCACCGTGGCCGGGGGGTGAGCGCCCAGCCAGCTTAAGCCTCCCTGCGCTCCTCTGCTGGGGCCGAGTGGCCGGGGGCGAATGGCAAAGCGCCCGGCCACCTCAAGCCTCCCAGCACTGGGTGACCACTGTCTCCGATCGCGGCAGCGGGGGACCCCTGGGAGGTCCCCCAGGGCTGCCCCACCACCATCGGAGACCTCCTGGGGGTCCGATTGCGGCGGCGGGGAGCAATTTTACATTTCCCACCCTTTTCCACCGCCATGATTGGACCCCCAGGAGGTCTCCCAGGGCTTCCCCGCTGCCATCGGAGACCTCCTGGGGGTCCCCGGCCACCATAATTGGCGCCTTCAGGGTTTCTCTGGAGACCTCCTGGAGATCCGATCACAGTGGCAGGGGGGGGGCCAGGCGGGGCGGATGGGCCAGCGGGGGGGGGGGAAGCCCTGGGAGCTTCCCCGCCACCATTGGAGAAGTCCTGGAGGTCCCTTTTCCTAACCGTTGGTGCGAAAGAGGAGCCTCTTCACCACCAACAGTTTGAATGGAACGGAAAAAAGGCAGAGGAAATTTGAATTTCCCACCCTTTTCCCCTGCCTTTTTTTCATTCATAGGTTGATACAGATTTTTGCAAATGAAGCCGTTCATAAGTCGAAGTGTTCACAGGTAGGGACGTTCGTAAGTCGAGGTCCCACTGTATATGCTGAAATCCTGTCTGTCCAAATTTTGTGATATAAGTCGTCTTGATGGCATCAGACAGGGCAGTTTTTTCTGGAAATTAAAAAAATTATTACTAGAAATTGCCACCGCTTGTAAAGTCATCCCAGTGTCTGTGATTTTTCAGTAATTAAAGACTTATTCCTCCCATCCCAAGGCTCCATGGGTCTTGAATACTCCTTTTCATCATTGGAAATCTGTGGGTGCCATGGGACAGGAGGAGGAAATCTTTAATTACTGAAAGTCAGGGAGACTTTACCAGCAATGATACATTTTAATAGTTAAAGACTTCTTCCTCCTATCCCACAACCTTTATGGATTTCTGATGATGAATGGGATTACTCAGCATTTATGGGGAGCTTGCGAAGGGAGGAGGAAATATTTAATTTGCAAAGTGTTTTTCCAGCTGATGTTGTCCTGGAATTCTTTCCAGAGAATTCTCTGAGGATATATTATGCTGTCCATTGTTAAGACAAAGGCAAATCTCAGTCTAATTGGATATTTTATAAATGTTTACATAATGGAACTTAACACAAATAGGATCTTAGCCATGATATTCTTTCTGGTTCCTCTATTCCTGGTGATTAGAAAAGAAGGATAGTAGTTTGTAGATTTTCCATCTATTTTGTGGCTGTTTCTCTAGCTGAATACAGTATAATATTTTCAAGCAAGAGTCCCTCTATAGACATAACCATAGAGTAGCAAGATGTGGATGGGATTGGTTTGGTAATAGTAACTCTTGATGTAAAATGAGACTGAATTTTGCTGTGAAGATTTACCTGCTAGTTCTTCATTCTATGAGTATTACTTTTGAAAGGTCTTCTGGGTTCTATATTATCCACAGACTTTTGGACAACAGAACAAATCTAACTATTGTGGTATTTTCGATAAATGGGTCAAAGATTATCTGCCTATTCGTAAATTAACCAATAAAATCTACCACTTCTTTTCCAGTATGACCATAAGCAAGTTAGCTTATTGGCTGAAAGACTAGTTACAAAAATAATGTCAGAAATTCCTGATGTGGTAATGAATGGCGATCCAAAGCATCGATATCCAGGTACTACTACTACTACTACTACTACTACTACTACTACTACTGCTACTGCTGCTGCTGCTGCTGCTGCTGCTGCTGCTGCTACTACTACTACTACTACTACTACTACTACTACTACTACTACTAACCTTAGAAGTGTAGAGCTGGAAGGGGCCCTAAGGCTCATTGAGTCCAGCCCATATTAAGGAGGCACAGTAGGAAATTGAACTCCCAGTCTCTTGCTCTTCAGACAAATGCCTAAACCACTAAGATATCTAGCAGGTGTATTGTTTGAACAGTATTGAGCTTCTGTCTTCTACTGAATGTATTATCTCTTTTGGGCTCAATGGAGAGTGTTGTAAATGTCTAAACTAAATTCACTGTGCAACAGCCTAGTACAGAATGAGTCTTGGGACTTTTGGGTTCTAACCCAGAAGCAGTCATTTGAACATAACAAAATTCCCATGATTTTCTGCAGCTTCATTAAGAGAAAAGAAAAATGGGTCAGAATCAATTGAAAAATTATACTGTTGTATGATAATTCCATTGGTGTAAATTTCAGCTCTGAATTGCCAGAAGTAAAGAAGTCATAGGCAGTTACTGTTTGACACTAAGATGTGCAACTCATATGCAACAGCAAATGCCAGATCTTACGTATTAACTGTCAACAGCTCAACACTGGAATATATGGCAATATATTTACGCCAGTACATAAACAATAGGATTCAGGCCATTGTTTTATTTATTTATGACAAATAGAATATTTATATGTACAATCATAATGTTAGAGCTAGGTTTTTCATTTGCTGTATACAAAACTGCTTGAGCTGTCAAAGCTAGAGTTTCAGTAAGAATTTGAAGTTAGGAAATATAACTTCAAAGCAAGGATTGTAGTTTCTGGAACATGTAATTTAAAAAAATAATTCAATAATATTGCATGCTTCTTTACTAATTTAAGCTGCTGTATAATGTAATTCACCTTAAAAATATTATTTTATATTTTTGTTCTGAACAATCAATTCATATTCAACAAACTGTAGGTGTTCTATATATAGCAATCATGTCTCTGTTGACATTATGGGTTTTATGCATTGTTCTCTAAAATTAACATGTGAGATGTCTAGTGGTTGGAAAAATGTAGTAACATATACTATCAGATCAGCAAAAAAAAGTTCCAAAGAGAAAAGAGACTTTGGTTATTAAAAAGGCAATCAAAGGCTATGTTTGTCAAAGTACTGTGTATTTTGCTATAAGCCTCTTGTTGTGCAGAGGTACAATGTAGTCTTTAAAGAAGCTGACTGTATTTTGTTAACTTTGCAGGCTGCATCAATTTGTCTTTTGCATATGTGGAAGGAGAAAGCCTACTGATGGCTCTTAAAGATGTGGCACTCTCTTCTGGAAGGTAATGGTGCATGTATAGGAGAAAAATAAGCCCCGGAGAATTCTCTGAGGATATATTATGCTGTCCATTGTTAAGACAAAGGCAAATCTCAGTCTAATTGGATATTTTATAAATCTTGCAGCGCCTTAAAAATTAAGTTTTATTGTACTTTCTAGATTGCAGGCCATTCTTTCAGATGCATAGTCATGTCAGTAGACAGAGGTTTATACAGTAATGTGGAGGGTAGGAATATGAAATGTCATGGAAATGCAAAAGGTCTAATACAGTATTATGATTTCCAGTTAGTGGCTATTAACAGTCCTTCAGGATGATAGATAAAGGTCATTTAGAGTCATAAGTGGATGACCAGTACTTTCAAGCATAGATAAGCAGATGAATGCATTCCAGGTAGCAAAACGTTTTCAAGTTCAGTGCAATGGAAAAATATGGCTGCAGTTTTCATGGGTTTTAGTAGTAGTACCCAAATAGGGAAGAGGAAATAGGAGTGAGAAAATTGTTCAGACTTGTCTTAAACATTACATTGGGTAATAATATAGTCAGACCTACAAGGATGACCTGATTAATATTTGTATTGAGACAACAGAAGGTTAATTCTTGCTGCTAACACTTTTAAATCACTTCCTTGTATTACATTAGTCATTTCTTCTCTCTTTCCATCTTTAGGCTTCTAATAGCTTGAAGCATTTTGATATTCTCATCATATCCAATACACAGTTAATTTTACTACCCTTTTTGTTCCCTTTCCTGCTCCTCTTCTTTTCTAATATTGGTTCTGTCTGCTGTTTTAGTTTACATTTTTTTCTCCTTATGACTTTTCAGTCTATCTTTGTTGTGAATGTCTGGTTCTAAGCTGTATAGACAATGTAGTAGTTCAAACAATATGATGTCTGCATCAAGAATATGTTATCTGTAATAAAATTTGTTGCTTTCCTACATGCACTGTGTGAGAAAATAATTTCATATTTTGTTTTAATTTTCATTAGTGCTTGCACATCTGCATCACTCGAACCATCATATGTATTACGTGCAATTGGAACAGATGAAGACTTGGCTCACTCATCTATAAGGCAAGGGTTACAATTCTTATGGATGTTCACATACAATGGATGTCCACTTTTGTCAATAGCAGAATACCTTTTTATAAGTTTATATACGCTTATGTAGAGAATTAGTGTGGTATAGTGAATACAGTGTGAGACTTGGGCCCAGGAAACCTGGGTTCAGATCCTTACTTGGTCATAGAAACTCACTGGCTGAAATCCTGTTGCTTATAATAGGTAGTAAGTGTGATGGAGCTGAAGCAGTGCGGAATATGTCGCCAGAGAAATATAAGATTGAGTCAGACAGGTTATGTGAGGAGATGATGTGAGAGACATTGGAATGTGTTTTACTAAGTGCTATGAGAGTGTTTTTCTGAAGACTGGGACAGCGTAGTTCGAGATAAAGCTGAAGGTCAGACAAAGAGCCCTGTGGAAGACTCAACATTCTGAGCTAATTGGAGAAGAGATAAAACACCGGGATTTTCATGGGAATTGAGAGTGGAGGAAGGTGTTACAGCGCCCCTCAAGGGTAATTGATTAACAGCCATGAAGTGTCAAGAAGAAGGGAGGAATTAGAGAATTTAGAAAATGGATGATGGGTTATGTGGAAGAAGTTAAGTTCTATTCCATGATAATGGGAGAGAAAAAGAACTTGATGGTTTGAGTATGTGGCTTGAAGAAGAAAGAATGTAAGTGGAGAGAAAGGAGGAGGTGGGGCTAGCCCACCTAAGCTCATCTTAGTAGTGTTTATTATTTTAATGGGGATTAGTTATTTTATTTAACTGTAATGATCTTTGAATATGTTTTCTATGCTAAAGCTTGAGCAATATAAACTGTTTCTATGAACTCTATTTTTCTAATAAAAATTAATTATAAAAATTCTTACAAAAGCAGGGTCTGGCAAAATTCAGGAGGTGGAGAGGGCCACAAGCTAGCTATCTTTAAGAGTCCTACCTAGCAGAGCTGTTGTGAGTTCTAAGGAATCACAAAGCCCATGTGTCTGTACTTGCAAAGTACTGGGTAAAGTAAAGTGTTCTTTTAAGGTCAGACTTGTTCAAGGGCTTACGCTACGCACTGCTGAGGTCTTGGGACTTGCCTCAGTGCAAAGGTGGTAGGTAAGTGGCCCGTCGAACTCTCTGACCGAGTGCTAAGCGCTCCTTAGGGAGGCTTGGGCACCACAGTAAGTTGCACTAGAATAGGCCCACAGAATCAGAGATTGGTTGAGTCAACTCCTCCATAGGTCCCATTGATTCAAATGGATCTTCTGTAGTTGTGACTTTTGCATGTAAGTTTCAACTAGAGTAGCCCATTTTAATCAACAGAATTTACGGAGGAGCTGACTCACCCAATCCTCACTGATTCAGTAGTCCTGCTCTAGTGTGATTTACAGAGCTAAGTAACAGGATTTCACCCATTGCAGAGTGCCAGTTGTAACTCACTCCTTGAACATTTCACATACCTCAAAAATGGTATTGGGACTGCTGTAAGTCAAAAGCAACTTGATGGCACATAAAAATAGCATATGTGTGTCTTGTGTTGCATTAAAAAGCTCTTTATTTTCTTTCAGATTTGGGATTGGTCGTTTTACTACTGAAGAAGAAGTAGACTACACAGTAAATAAATGCATATACCATGTCAAGAGATTAAGGGAAATGAGGTAAAATTTTTGTTTTAGACTTTTACCATTGCAGGACTTCTCTCTGTTGATAGGAAATACTATCAGATGTCACTGTGTTTAAAGTGGATGAAGACTGAGAGAGAAAAGGATGTTTAGGATGTTCTGCTTTTGCCCAGAACAGATCTCACTTCTTCTGTCTCCTTTTACAGTATATCTCTCCTTTTATTCTGCTTTTGCCAAGAGGATTAAAGCTTACACATGAAGTATCTCATCTCACTAAGCCTTGCCATATCACTGCCTATTCCATGAGGAAGGTAGCTACTTCTACAACTTTCTTGGGAGATGCTCCCATGGAAAAGACTGTAGAGCTTGGGTTCATCATATTACACCATATTATACAATTGACAAATACACTTCAGCAGAAGCTATATTTGGCAAATATGTCCTTCAACAAGTAGTTTCCGATTGAAGAGTCTCCCATATCCCTCCCTATAGACATAGAACGCTTGTGTAGTTCACATTCATGGATGGCTCCTTTCTGCAGACCAAGAATGAGCCATTGGCTTCTGTGAAAGTCCTTTCTGATCTTACAGGGATAAGCTAACATGTCCTTCAACAAGTAGTTTCTGATTGAAGAGTCTGCCATATCCCTCCCTATAGACATAGAACTTGCTTGTGTAGTTCCCATTCATGGATGGCTCCTTTCTGCAGACCAAGAATGAGCCATTGGCTTACTTCTGTGAAAGTCCTTTCTGATCTTACGGGGATAAGCTAATGTCCTAGTTGCTGCTAGCTGGTAAGAGGAGCAGGGAAGTAGGAAGACTACTATATCTAGCCGGCACACCAGATGTTCCCAATTCTTGCCCTAGATTATGCTATGGGCTAATAAATTATTGATAGCAAACTGGCATAGTCCTTGTAAAGATACTCGCGCCCTGCCCTCGCTTACCGAGGGCGCGAAAATGGCGGCGCTATGGGACAACATCGCTTAACGGTGAGTTTTAAAGCCATAGGAACGCATTGAATGAAGTTCAATGCGTTTCTATGGCTTTTTTATTCCCGTTTAGCGATGTTTTCGCATAGCGAAGGTTAATCTGGAACTGATTAACCTCGCTATGCGAGGCACCACTGTATATAGATTCCTATTAGAATTAGACTGGTATTTGCAGGGTAGTGGGATCCTTTGTTGTTTAGTCGTTAAGTCATGTCCGACTCTTCGTGACCGCATGGACCAGAGCACGCCAGGCCCTCCTGTCTTCCACTGCCTCCCGGAATTTGGTGGGATCCTACAAGTTATTAAATCGACATAGCTTAAGCAGAGGAGATCACCTGTGCTCATAAATTGTATGAATGTAGATTCGGTGGATATGTTCTGTACATTCCTAAAGAAAACTATGTGCAACTTGTTTTTAAGTACTGTACATAATTTGCAGGTAGAGATGAGCATAAACCACTGAGCCAGCAGGTCATGTCCATCTCTATTTGTAGAGTTCCTCCTCAAATACAAGTCTTTTATATAGGAATCTAGCATAGGAAAGTTTCTAAAATAAATATTCATTTTCATAGTTAATCTTTCATGATTAGCCTTGTAGATTCAGGAGTTCAGTCTTATGGAACATCCTAATTGTGTCTTCTGAGGATTACAATTAAGGCCATTTAAAGATATTTATATAGCACATGATTTAATTTTCTGAGAGAAACCTTTTTCTAAACAAGTTTTTATTATTAACTAATGATAATTCCTCAAAGTTTGATGTCAAATAATGTTTTTATTTCTGAGGCATTGACAATGAATTTTCATTTTCATTTTACAGCCCACTGTGGGAAATGGTACAGGATGGGATTGATTTGAAGAGCATTAAATGGACACAGCATTAAGCAAAGGAGATAACATGTCATCATGAGTTGTATGGATGTGAATTCAGTGGACATGTTCTCTACCTTCATAAGGAATACCATGTGGCACTTGTTTTAAGTTGCTCTCTGAAACTAGACAGTTGCCTTTTCTAAAGAGACCTGAAAACTAAATCTTGAGTGATGTTTAGCCAGGTATATGTTAAGCTCACACATAATACATGGATATTTGTTTCTTAGAGCCAAGAAAGTTACAACACGTTAATTGTGGATGTGGTACTGGTACAGCTTAGTATGACAACTCTTTAGTAACGCTTTTACAGTATTGTGAGCAAAAATATGTCTCAATAGGCTGCTTTGTATCTGTTTTACCAGCATTCGTCCCATAGCAAAATTTGCAACTGGATACATTATATACTCAAAAGTTAACTTCTCACAGAAGGCAGTTTTCCATCTAAGATCCCCATGTCTTATTTTTTATCATTTATGTATGAGTATGACAACTCTTTAGTAACGCTTTTATTGTGAGCAAAAATATGTCTGCAGTATATTCTCAATAGGCTGCTTTGTATTTGTTTTACCAACATTCGTCCCATAGCAAAATTTGCAACTGGATACATTATAAAATATGTCTCAATAGGCTGCTTTGTATCTGTTTTACCAGCATTCGTCCCATAGCAAAATTTGCAACTGGATACATTATATACTCAAAAGTTAACTTCTCACAGAAGGCAGTTTTCCATCTAAGATCCCCATGTCTTATTTTTTATCATTTATGTATATTACATGTGCTTTGTGTTCATGTAGTAAGGCCAAGTATTTATTGAAAGCATTTCTTGTTACAGACATTTTTGTTTCTTTATAAAATTCACCTTGTCCTAATAATCTTACCTTTTCCTGCTTTTCTGTCATTTTCTTGATAACTTTCTCCGCTGACCCTGTATTTGTTATTCCTAAGAATATCTCCTGATTTACAGAATGCAACATTCACCATTGATTATTTCTGCCCCATTGCCTTATTTTCAAGTGAATGTGGAAGATTTTAAGGATTGCTTCTCCTATGATGTAGTATATTGGTTCTGTAAAAGGGAAGAGACTGTTGATTTGAGAATGCCCCATTGTTGCATTTGGGTAACTGTAATTATTCAGAAGCAATGGCTTTTGCCTTCCAGAGAGCTTGGAGGTACTAGATAAAGTGAAACTGACAATGCTAGCACCAGTGGTACTTGCAGTATGCATTCCCATGAATATGGGATGTTTCCAAATTTGTGTTATTTGTAATACAGAGAATTGTTTTTAGACAAGAGCTTTTCTGTATTTACTTCTTTGCTTCTTAAGGTGCAAGAAGGAAATTTTAACTCCATTCCATAAACTGCCTTTTGTGTTGCCTAGCTTTGTGTACATGCTGTTCTCAGAAAATGGGTTGCTGACCTGGGTACAGGGTGCATCGTCAGTGCTATAAACAAAGCACTATTTGTTCTTGGCAGACACATCCTCTTGCTTGCCTTGAGAATTAGTCCTACACATACATAAAAATGTCCTTGAAATTATATCTGTTCCTATTAGAGAGGGCTTATTAAAGAAATCAAGCAGAACTTTGTTTCATAGAAGACAAATCTTAGTTTGCTTAAGTGCTAAAAAAATTGTCGAGACACTTACTTTAAATACCGCAGTGAGAGCAATTTATGTTGCCTTATTACAAAGTTAGCTTTGTCATAAAGTTAGGTTTTAAGATTGCAAATATGTCTTTCAAATATTACAGTAGTGGATTATCCATCAATTTGGAAAAAAACTTTACAAGTTTGCTGTTTTGTAATTTTACCTGATAGACTTGAAAAGAGAAACATTGATTTTAGAGCAGGCCTGTACAATGGAGCTGTGCACCCTGGGAGAAAACGCTATTGTAGGGGACAGAATGAATGGAGTCAGCAGAAAATGAGTAAGCATGCACATTGGCAGAAACATCCTTATCCATGGTTAAATGTAATGTGGCAGTCTTCTGAATAAAAATGTAAAAGAAGGCCTGAATAGTTCAACTCAATGTTTGTGTTGCAAAATATACATGCGGAATTAATAAAATAAATGAGCATTGAACTTCACAGTATTTGTGTCTCTGCAATTATTTTTTCTAAAAACTGCTCCTACTCAGTCCCATAATTTCAAAGCTTATATTTCAGTGAACAACAAACCTGTTTTTCCCCCCTAACTCAAATAAATAAAGTTTCTATCTAAAGGAAGGGGCTGCCTCCTGGCAGCCTTGGAGAATGAAACAGAACAGAGATGGGTCTCTGTGTTCTTCAGATACTTATCAGTACTTTTACCCAGTTTCCTTGAGCATAACATGCATAGGACTAAAATCTTAAAACACAGGAGCTACTAAGTGGACTTCATCATAGAAAGTAGAATTTACTGAGAATTTACAGTACTCATAATAGTCTGTCACTCTATACATTGTGGGCTTTGTACATGTATTTATCATAATAGTCTGTCACTCTATATACTGTACCATATACATTGTGGGCTTTGTACATGTATTTATTGCTACATGTAACACTTGGTAGCCTTTTCAGTCTATGTACTGAACGTCCTTTGCTTGTCTACTAACGATCCCTGCGCCGCCAAAACGCGTTGTACCTCTCGAAAGATTTCGCCGCCCCAAATGTTCATCTTTAATGTGTCACAAAACTTTTCCAGCGTTGCTTTTAACTGAATTATATTTGAAATCAATCACATTTGATCATAGTAGGGCTGGCGAGACTACAAAGGGTCACAGAACTGAGAAAACCCTACTCCTTGAACTCGGCCTCCGAAGAGTCTCCCGGCCCTCATCCCCCTCATATTATAGGCCACACCCTCCACTTCTACGAGTAGGCGGCCTAGAGGCGGGGCAAGCGGGCGGCCATTTTGTGGCGCTGGTTTCAGCGCGGAGAGCGGGGGCCTCAGTGGCGAGTTAAATTTCTTTTTAACGCCCTTTTCCCGTACAGGCCGCTCGGTAAGAACTCGGCACTATCCTGGCTCGCTCTCTGCCTCGTTGGGAAACGGGAGGGAGACCGGCCGTCTCCGGCGTGCCTGCCAGGAGAGTTTGTTCATTCCGACCGTGGCTGCACAAAGAAGGTGGGGCGGGAACTTGGGCCTGTGGGCGAGATCCGGAGCCCAGTCGGCTCCTTCGGCCCCAGTCTTTACAGAGGGCTCCGTGGGTAGGAAAGGGTCAAGGAGACGCTTAGCATTGCAGGCCGTTTTCGGCCTGGTGCGCAGAGTTATGCTGCTGCGCGCGGGAGACGATGCTGGTTCGGGGCAGTGACGAGCTGCCTGTGGGCCCCGTGTGTTTTTGTGACCTCCTTTCTTTAGGGGGTAGGTGAGTATCTGTGGACCCTTCTAGAGGCGGCCTTCGGAAGCCGACATTCCACGAGAGCATCGCCGGACAGGGTGTTGCAGCGCTGTTCGGCCCGGCGAGAAAACTGTGTAGGTGCCTTCCCTGTCGGGATCGGGGCGCATGGACACAAAAAATCTCTAGCGTAAAACAAAATGGCCTTTGCTGCGGGGATTGCTGCATCGACCAGACCTTCAACAATACCCCGACTCTCTAGCATTCACTTCGCGCAGTGCGAAGTGATATTGGACTGAATGCGAACATCCCCGTTGCGAATTCGAGTCTGTGGGGATTGATTATTGCAGTGTCTTCCTCACATCGCTTTTTATGTTGGTTTCTTTCCCTTTAAAAAACGCGGGTGGTCTCAAGAGTGCACACGGAGTGCCATTTTCCGGTGTTATAATTAGAGACTGAAAATACCTGGGTGGAGAAATTTTTTAAATAGTCATAAATAATGCCTGCGAAATTAGGTGCAAGTGTTGAGTTAGGTAGACAGGTTTTATTTAAGGGACAGGTTTGTTCATGCCTTCGTTTGCTTCAGTTTACGCTGGTTAAGTGACTGGAATTGGATCTGTGTAGTATATTGTTGAAATAGGTGTGTCATCAGGTTATATAACAAACCTGTATGCTGTAGAGAAGTGAAGGTTTTGATTAAGCCAACAGAATTTGTCTTGCTGAGAATGCAGATTCTAAAATGGAACTGCATTATGAACTGTAGTTTACTGGCTTCTTTTCTGTTTCAAAGATTGGCATAAATCCAAGGCTATTTGTTTTTCGTTTAAAAGTACAATTTTGTTCAATGTGTGTAATATATTTTTCTATTAAATACAGAGAAAAGTGTCAGGAGTTAGACTTCTTATTTGGCTGTAGAATGACTAAAATCTGGCATGGGTAAAACTGGTGAAATGGTCTTAAAATATTTTGTGGAGGCACGTATTTGTAGTTTTGGAAATGAGAAGAAGTTGGGCTTTTGTGTTTTGGTTTTTCAGCTGTAAATTATTTTAATCCGGTTTACCTCCCTGCTCCATCCCATACCTGCTTGGTAATCACAAGAAGCCTGTGATCTGATAGTTCTTGCTTCAAAGAAAACTCTGATGAAGTGTTGTGCTGAAATGGTATTTTGCAGTTTAGATAGGTTTTAAAATGATTTTTTTATCATATTTCCTTAGGAAGTTTGTATCAAAATATATACACAGTTGTGTATATAGAATGCAGATATGACATTAATTTCATGGACAGAGTTATCTAATAAAGATTATTTCTTAAATCAAAATGAGTGATCAAGACCGAGAACAAATAAACATGACAGAACTCTACAGGATGTCATAGTATATTTGTTTTATTGGCTTTGACTTGCAGTGTGTATAATAATGTGTTTACTTGGAAGAATATGTGCAGTAGAAATCATAGAATCATAGTGATGGCAAAAACTCAGCATATTGACAACTTAATGTTCAAGAGAAACATCAGTAAAATACAGTATGAGACTGGTGAAATACACTGTATTAGCATAGTTTGTAGTGTAATGTCTTTATGGAGATCATCTAGAAACTTCAGAAGTTATAATCTCTAGAATTATTCCTTTATGGTAAAATATTCATTAGGGTCATGGTTTACAAAATGTTGTGAAAGATTTGGGATTCTGGTGAAGGACAGCTTGTATGAATACATTCTTATACGCAGTAATATATAAATGATCTTCTCTTTTTATTGTAAGTGGCTTTCTTAAACAGCTTAGTTTAGAAAGCCTGTTTTCTGGTCCTCTGGTTTTCACAAACTAATGGTGTTCAGATTAGTGTTCTAGTTAAAATTCTTTGTTGGAATCTATTTTTTTCTTTTTTCCTTTCTGTGGTGCTTAAAGTTGGTATATATTTCGAAAACTTGTGTATGGATAACCTATTGGTTAACTAATGTGGTCATCAGAAACCCTACATTGTCTACAGATATCAATTGGTTGTAATACCTCTAGATATACAGTGGGATATGCATCTTTTAATAAATTATATGAAGCAATGGATGAACTGTATCAATTAAGTTTTCTTTGTTTCCTTTCTCTAAATGGGAAGTAATTTCAGGATTTGTAAGTACAGATTGCTAATGACATTCAAGTAGTATAACTTATATTAGGATGTTTGTTTTCATACACATAAAGAAAGTTGGATAATTGGTTGGTGAAATATTACTTTGGTTCAGTTCTTAATCAGATTGTTTTGCCTGGAATCTGTATTGTATTGCATATTGGCTTTTGTCCGCTTGAGACTAATTGAAATTAAATACTGTGCCTAGAGTTCTAATAGTAAAATAAATAGAAGGAAATGTGTTGAAAAGGGAGTGAATATAGCAGCTCCGGAACCAACAGTTGTGTTTTTAGCTTCTTTGAAGTAGTTCTTAATTCAGTAAGAAAATACAGGTTTAAGAAACTTGTCTATTGTTCCGAATGACTCCACATAGACTTTTTAAACGGAAGAATAAATATGTTGCTGAAATCAGTATTGACAGACTGTGTGTCTGAAAAGAGAATACAAATTTGAGAGGTAGCAATTTTGTCATGAATTTATTTTTTATGGATTTTAGTTTATACATTTTCATGTTGGACATGTCCTGATTTAAAGTAAACAACAAATTTGGTGTTATCAAAGTATGGGGTACTTTGAGGATAAGAGATCAAGAAATGTTTATTTATGCAGTATCAAATTTGTGGTTTCCATATGCTGGTGTGTCTTATGATGGTCATTACAACGGTCCTGGCTTCAGTGTTTCATAATCCGCAGTTCATTGTGGACTGTTTAACTGTAGTTTTGTGTTGCCTGCATTGATTTTTGCCTCCATTTATTCTTTATTGCAGTCTAAAAGTTGGTTTTAATTGGTTGCCCACAGGATTGACTTGGCTTCTGCTACTTGTTAAGGAAAAAAAACACCTCTTCTTGCAGGTAAGAGACCCTGAAGGTCTGTTTATGCCTAACTGAATATATTTGGGTAGTCAAAGTGCTCTTGAAAATAGCTTTTAGTATATAGATTAACTTTAAGAAATCACCAAATTTGTTTTTTTTTTTCTCCTTTTGGGATCCAGTTGTGAATGTTTTTGTAAACATTTATGTGGACTGAATTTTAGAAGATAAAAAACAAATGGGGGAAAGATCCCTTTTAGAATTCCATTACATAGCATTTGTTGTGTAGTTTTTGAAACTGTATCATAAGCCATGTAGGTTTTTTGTAATGTATTTTTCCCCTCGTAACGGCACTCTGATAAATTCCACTCTACCTAGCTGGCTCCTATTTGGTGTTTGGATTCATTCTTAATACAATAGTACATCTCTCGCTTCTAATTGGAAGGGACTGTTAAACACTTTTTGTTGATTTGGATTAGTATTAATTAACAGATATATTTTGACCACAGATTTGTTTAATACCAGTACTGCAGAATTATATGTTTGGTTATATATGATTCTCTCCTTGGCCTTTTAAAAATATACCAGACTCCTATCAACAGTTTGTTGATTTTTCTGAAGGACTGCAGTACTGTGCTGCTTAATCGTTTATATAACTTTTAAAAAATTGTTGGAATATACAGTTTTCTATCTTATTTAAAGCCACTGTTTCGGCATACTGGCATAAAAGGAGGTGATAATTTAGGATATTGGGATACCTTAAGTCCATTAAGTCTTTAAGGTTCCATAGTATAATCTCCCCTCTTAAAAAGCCTTTGTATTACTTTCTATTCAACATAATTTGGTTCAGCTGGATTGCATTGAGAGAATTTCCATTTCTTTATTTTCAAATATTTCCACTATGCTCATCTGTCTGAAAGGTAAGCAGGGTTACTGACAAAATATAAAATATTAGTACCGTAATTCAAACAAACAGCACAGTATAGCAAGTAAAAGACTTAGTAAAAAGCACCACGACTATTTGAAATAAATCTTCATTACGTATATGAAATTGAACAGAAATGGGCACAGAAGACCTTCAGCAAAACTGCATTCCAGATTTGTGATCCATATCAGAAGAGGCCCTGTGCTACATTGTCTACTCCTCACTCTTTCCATGGTGAAACATGGAACTGAGCTTCTGATGTCTTTCTTAGTGTTTGAGCAGGTCTATAAGACACTGCTAATATTTTTGATTGATAGGAAGTAGCCAGCTGATTTATCTACAAGCTGCTTATGGTTGCAGAGAGTTCTGGTGTACATAGTGGTATTATTTATTTATTTATTTATTTATTTAATTTCTATGCCACCCACACTACCCAAATTTCTGTGTGCTTTGTTAGACTGAAATTGCATCACTGGTTACTGAAAATGGGCTAAAATCATATCCAAATATAGATGCAGACAGTGCAGATTGAATATTAATATAGGTCACTAAATTTCTTTCTTTTCTAACCTTGGACCGACCTTCAGCTCAAACATGCATTTGGGCACCATTCTGTACTTTTTACTATATAATTATGTGGTAGTAGTGCTGCAGTTTGATTAGATCCAACCCTCGACCATCTGTTTCATTTGTAGTACTTTCACTTTAGTAACACATTAAATATTAGGGTAGCATCACTTACTAGTTGTTGATTTTTATAGATGTTAAAATTATTGCTCTAGCCTTTTATTGTCTACTGACAATTTTATGCTACTCTGAGTAAACCTAGTGCCTTGGATTTTTCTGTTGAATTATAAATATGCCAAAAAGTGGTCCCTTTATAGAATAACTCTTGTGCAGTCTTGTGAGGCAGTTGTAGGTGTCCATTCAGATGGTTGGTGGTTGTTTAATTTGCAGGGATTGAAAAATCCACTCGTCCACTCGTATGTGATGAGTGAAAAAACGCTGCTTGATGAGCCACAGCTTGCTCCCTCCCTCGCTCCCTCCTTACCACCTTATCCTCAGGCCCTCTCTCTCTCTCTCTTTCTCTCTGATCCTGCAGTCCTCTCCTCCCCCTTCCCATTGCAAAAGGAAAAATAGCCCTCTTCTTGCAAAAAGAGAGTTTGATCAGCACATAGATATATAGTTCTGCAGGAGAAAGTAGACTAGTCCCATTCTGGAGAATATGGAGATTCCCTGCTCCCAATTTCAACCAAACAACCTGGCTCCTTAAAAGGCCGGGCACTTTTGCTTTCAGTTTTATTTTAGCTGGAGACATTCAAAATACAAACTTCATGACCACACAGGCACGCAGGTAATAAAGCAACCCAAGTCTGAGGGTATATTTATTTTAGGTTTGTATGCATTGTTATGTAGAAAGTGCCTAGTTTAAATTTAAATGTAAATTTAAACATAAATTGCAAGACTATAGTCCGGTCATGCTGACTGGTGAAATTTTTGACTGGTGAGGCATTCTAAAATTTTTCAAGTCCTGTTTATTTGTAATAATACATACAATGAAGTAATACATACAGCAGACAAGGCAGTCCTTTGTATTACACACTGTGTTTCATATGCAGTATTCAAAAACACTTAACAGTAAACAATTTGCTTTGTATCTCAGTAATCTTACAAATTGTTAAACCAGGTTACTGGGGGAAATAGAATATTTTTGCTTATTTTGGCAAAAAAAGTAGTATACCCAGTTTTCTAAAATTCGTCCTTTCTGACTTTTCTTTGCTGTTAGTTTACCTATTTGTTTACATTGCAGCAGATATTGGACACGAAGAATGGGGCTTCTTCTTACTACAGTGGGGTCTCGACTTTGAACGGCTCGACATACGAACGTTTCGACTTACGAACCGCCTCTCATAGGAATATATGGACTCGACTTACGAACTTAGATTCGAGTTACGAACTCTTTTTTTCCTTTTTTTTAAAGCTAAGTCATCTTAGCTTAAAAGGAAAAAAGAAAAAATATCCCCCTCTAGTGGCAGAAGGCGGAATAGCAGCTTCCCATTAGTTTCTATGGACGAAAAGAGCAGATACGGATTAAATGGTTTTCAATGCATTCCTATGGGAAATGCAGATTCGACTTAAGAACTTTTCGACCTGAGAACTGCCTTCCAATACGGATTAAGTTCGTAAGTCGAGACCCCACTGTATTATTCTTATTCTTATTCTTACACTGTTGCTCCCAAAATTCTCTAGGAATTCTGTAAGTAGAATTAATGCAAGATGCAACTCAGAAACACAAGTCTAAAGACCAGTTGTATTTACTTCCATCCCTGCCTTCTTTGGCCCATTTCTATTTTACAACACAAGGAAGCTGCCCCAGTGTGCCCTGAGAAATGTATTCTTCCTGTGAGGTACAGTGTTGCTGTCCATTAGGCTGTGTAGAGCAGGGATTCACAACCCCTGGTCCACAACCCAGCAGTGGTCTGCAGCCTAGGCAGGACCGGGCTGCAGACACAGATTGCCTGTGCACAAGTGCTCTCCACCCACTCCCCGTGGGCACGCCACACCCCCACAAGCGTGCCACGCCTGCCCCCCAACTGGTCTGAGGTTGTAAAAAGTTGGGGGCCACTGTTATAAAGGATACCTTCCAAAGAAAGACCTGTGCCTCCTAGGAAGCACCAGGGTGGCTTTCCTGGTTTTGAAAAAATCTAGATGGCATGTCCCTGTTGTACACGAATGTTTCAGTAATTGCGTGTAAGAATATTGGGAGCACCTTTTGGCTTTCAAACAGAGTACACGTTTGATCTTAATATTACATGAGAACGCAAACTGATGTGCATTTTTTGCTGTCTAAAATAATCAAGAGCCTTATAATACTATTTGCTTAAGCAGAGTCCTTTTTTGTGAGATACATAAATAATTTCTATTATAATGGGGTAGTGATTTTGAAATCTAGCAGTAATTTTTATTTAATGGTAAAATACATTTGTATAACAGGCTAACAAATTACTTTTATTATACAGGTTAACTCACAAACTTTTCAATCTCTTGATCTCATTAGTCTCTTAGAAATAAGATGCTCACTGACTGATACTTGTGACAGCTGAAAGGAGATAATCACAATTTTTGGCTAATAATTCTTGAAACATAATTAGTACAGTAAATAGAAACAAGTTAATAGAAACTGAAATTTACTACAAGAAATCACAACTAGTAGCCTTATACATATTTCCATAAAGAAACATTAGATTAATAAAATCTTCCAGTTCAGTAGTAGCTCTGAGAAGGTAGTGCTATTTAAGCATAGTAGGATTTGGGTTGGCCAGTTTTTGTGGAGTTATTTAATGGAATGGAACATCATATGAATCCTCATTAGTGTTCCTTACTATTGTGTACAGAGTTGTCAGAAATTAAGATGGTTCTTCCATTGTGCAGTTATTTTCTGCCTTGAAAACAATGAAACAAAGCAAACAAAAACAAAACATGTTGCTTATATACCACCCCATAGTGCTTAAAGCACTCTCTGGGTGGATTAGTTATGCAAGTTACACATTGCCCCCCCCCCCAGCAAACCGGGTACTCAGTTTACTGAACTTGGAAGGATGAGTTGAACCTCAAGCCTGGGATTGAATCTGGGTTGTGAGCAGAATTTTAAACTGCAGTTTAACCACTGTACCAGACTCCTTATCATATTTTTGTTGAAAAAAAGCTTATAGCTCATAAGAGAAAACACTACAGTGGTGCCTCGCAGAACGGGCGCCTCGTAGAGCGATGAATTCGCTCTACGGGTCCATTTTTGCGATCGCAAATGCGATCGCAAAACGGTGCCCGTATAGGCGGGAAATCGCAGAGCGAAGGGCGGTAAGCTGCTTGCTTACCGACCTTCGCTTTGCGACCCGACAATCAGCTGTTTCGTGGCTTCAAAATGGCCGCCAGAGCAGCCAAAAGGGGCTGGGGCGCAGCATTTTTGCGCCCTTGGTAAGCAAGGGGAGGGCGCGAAAATGGCTACCGGCATCGCTGTACAGTAAGTAAACGTGCCAATGGCTTTTTTACTTCCGTACAGCGATGTTTCACACAGCGAGGGTTAATCCGGAACGGATTAACCTCGCTGTGTGAGGCACCACTGTATTTTAGGCCCCACAGCAATGTTTGTAATGTTGGAACTTTCATGCAAGAAATACAGTGGCATGACATTTTAAATAGATATACTATAAAGTAACTGGAATGTCAAAAAATTTCTGGTATCTGTCTGAAGAACAGCAATATGTGTATTATATTTCATAATGTAGTCTGTTGGTGACTTCAAACATTGCCCCTTTTAGATTTAGCTCAGATATGTTTTATAAAAAGTTTCATCCCAATTTTATTCTGGGTTTCTGACAGCAAAGCTTTACATTTATTGGTTTTCTCTTTTATTTTGTAATGGGCAAATGTCTAGTAAAATCACGGTTACAGAAGCATTGTTGGGGTGTTCATCTTTCAGTCTTTCTTGGATGCTTCATTGTTTCTGCTTAAAAGTTAATTTTATAGTTCTTTCTGCAACCATAAGATCTAATTTAAATTGAAAGGGAATGTTCTTCTCTTGAGTTTGAGGCCGAATCAGTTACACAGAGCAATTATATAAGCTCATTTATGATGAATTTACATTTTATCACATGTAACTTTAGTCTGATGAGCACTTATGAGAACATTTTTCTTTTTTTAAATGTTGCATTTGGAAGGGCATTCCTTTTCCTAGAGATTCCAGACCTTTTAATATAGGCAAATTTATAGTAATATAAACTTGGTAATGTAAATGTAGCTAGAGGTGCAACTCTGAGATCTAGCTTTTGACACAGCTTAGTGATCTGACTCATAGAAAGAATTAATGTCTTTGTCAAAGCTGAACAGTGGTAGGAGTAGAAATCAGGAAAGCTCAAACAAGAGGCTGAAAAGGGTTCTGGTGTCTGGATGCTTACAGATGTAATCTTAAGGTTTAAGAGTTTTGAAATTGTTATTTATTGCCATATGTGTCCGAAGTATAAAGGTTTGATGTAAGGTTCTGTATCATGCTGCTGCATAATACCTTTTTCTCTAGCTTTGACTTAAATGGTAATTTATGCAACTAGTTATTAAAGTTTTATTTATTATTTTGTTTATTTAAAATATATTTACCCCGCCTTTCTCTTTAAAAGGTTTTTCACATCAGAACTCTGACTTGATCTCCTGCTAGATTTGTCTTAGCCATCTTGGATGTTGTCTGATTAGATTCTTGCTAATAGGCTGTAGTGCTTTGTGCTGCAGCTTACTGGAAAGATTTGCAAAGTGTTGCTTCTAAATTACTCTTTGCAGAAACCTCCACATGAATACATTTATGTTTTGGATGCTTATTAAAGAACTTCAAGATTATTTAACATAATAGTGTCTAGGTTAAGCATGTGGTGTCATAAATAGTCTGACCTAGCCGTTGCCTTTTCTCATCTGCAGGTGTGTGTGTTTCAGCGCAGCATGGCTGTGGTCATCCGTTTGCAAGGTCTCCCAATTGTGGCGGGGACTATGGACATTCGCCACTTCTTCTCTGGATTGACCATTCCTGATGGGGGCGTGCATATTGTAGGGGGTGAGCTGGGTGAGGCTTTCATCGTCTTTGCCACTGATGAAGATGCAAGGCTTGGTATGATGCGCACAGGTGGTACCATTAAAGGGTCCAAAGTAACCCTGTTACTAAGCAGTAAAACTGAAATGCAAAATATGATTGAACTCAGTCGAAGACGTTTTGAAACAGCGAACCTAGATATGCCACCAGCAAATGCTAGCAGGTCCGGGCCGCCACCTAGTTCTGGAATAAGTAGCAGGGTGACTCTTCCTACTACTGTACCTAACTTCAACAGCCCCTCAACTAGTGTAGTAACTGCAGCTACTTCAGTTCATGAAAGTAACAAAAATATACCAACATTTTCCACTGCTAGTATGGGAACGGCACCACCAAGTCTGGGTGCTACTTTTGGAAGTCCCACATTTAGCTCAACTGTACCCAGTACAGCCTCTCCAATGAACACGGTACCACCTCCACCAATACCTCCTATTCCAGCTCTGCCATCATTGCCCCCAATGCCTTCTATTCCTCCCATTCCTGTCCCACCACCTGTACCTACATTGCCTCCTGTTCCTCCTGGGCCACCTATACCTCCTGTGCCACCTGTGCCACCAATGACACCTCTCCCTCCATTATCAGGAATGCCTCCTATGAATGCCCCACCTGTTGCACCTTTGCCTGCTGGAATGAATGGGTCTGGAACAGCAATGAATTTGAGCAGTAACTTGAATCCAGTGTTTATGAATCCTATAAATGCTATTCAGATCAGTTCTCAACCTGGTATGAAATCACTTCCTGTCAATCCAGATGATTTATATGTCAGTGTCCATGGAATGCCATTTACAGCAACAGAATCCGATGTCAAAGACTTTTTCCATGGTCTCCGTGTGGATGCAGTTCATTTTCTGAAAGATCATGTAGGACGGAATAATGGAAATGGATTAGTTAAATTTTGCTCTCCTCAAGATACATTTGAAGCCTTGAAACGAAACAGGATGCTGATGATTCAGCGTTATGTTGAAGTTAGTCCTGCAACAGAGAGACAGTGGGTGGCTGCAGGAGGCCATATAACATTCAAGCAGACTATGGGTTCTTCTGGACAAAATCATCCTTCTCCTCAGGCTCTTTCTATGTCCAAATCTCCCAATGGTCAGAAAAGATCCAGATCCAGATCTCCACATGACCAAGGCTTCTGTGTTTATTTAAAGGGTCTTCCTTTTGAATCTGAGAACAAACATATAATAGATTTCTTTAAAAAATTAGATATTGTGGAAGACAGTATTTACATAGCTTATGGACCCAATGGGAAAGCACTCGGTGAAGGTTTTGTTGAGTTTAGAAATGAAGCTGACTACAAAGCAGCTTTATGTCATCATAAGCAGTATATAGGAAATCGTTTTATTCAAGTTCATCCCATAAGTAAAAAAGCTATGTTAGAAAAAATAGAGGCAATTCGAAAAAGACTGCACAATTTCAACTACGATCAGAGAGAGATTGCAATGAATACAGAAGGAGAGACAGGTCCTTCTAAACTATATGCACGTATATCCAATATCCCCTATAACATTACCAAAATGGAAATCCTTCAGTTTCTAGAGGGTCTGGCAATAGAAGAGAATTCTATACAGATTCTTGTTGATACTAATGGGCAAGGCTTAGGACAAGCACTGGTCCAGTTCAAAACTGAAGAAGATGCTCGCAAGGCAGAACGCCTACATCGAAAGAAATTGAATGGGAGGTATGTTGTGCTAAGACTGATTGCTCCTGAAGAAATGAGAGAAGTTGAGAGAAATCCTCCCTCCCAAGGGAAAAAAATGTTGAAATTGCCATTGCAGGGGAATACAGCAATACCAGGAGTGCAAAATACTGGTGGGGATGAGCATTCTTTCATAGGTGGTTGCTCAAAAGAGGCAAATAGTGGTCCTTTTCCAGTATTTTCTAGTAATTTCGGTGGTTCTAATGCATTTGGTCCTCCTCTTCCACCTCCAGGTATAGGGGGAGCTGGCTTTGAGGATTCCAGACCAGGAATACCTTCTGTTGGAAATAGTTGTTTACCTGGTCTACCTGGCTCAGGAATAGAAGTCCCAGGTTTTGGAGGTGGGCCTAGTAATTTAACTGGGCCATCAGGTTTTGGAGGGGGCCCACAGAATTTTGGAAATGCCCCTGGTAATTTAACTGGCCCTCCTAGTTTTGGAAGTGGGCCTCCAAATCTTGGTGGTGGCCTTGGACACATAAGTGGACCTCCAGGGTTTGGACCTGGACCTGGAAACTTGCATATTACAGGGCCTCCTGGGTTTGGAGCTGGCTCTGGAAAGCCAGGGCCAACTGTTATTAAGGTTCAGAATATGCCCTTTACTGTGTCAGTAGATGAAATTTTGGATTTCTTCTATGGTTACCAAGTAATTCCAGATTCAGTATGTTTAAAATTCAATGAGAAAGGTATGCCCACAGGTGAAGCAATGGTTGCATTTGAGTCTCGTGATGAAGCAATGGCAGCTGTTGTTGATCTGAATGACAGACCAATAGGATCAAGAAAAGTGAAACTTGTTTTAGGGTAGTTGGTGTATAAGTTGTTTGTAGAATAGATATTAGTGCTGTGATTTATGCATTCAGACTGTTTTATAGTAGCTTCATGTTTGAAACAATAAATTTGTTTAAAGTTTAGATTTGTTTTGATAAGACTGAGAACATTGGTTTAAGTGTTTACAGAACAATCACTGCAAAGATAAATGTGCAGTCGTTCTACCAGTGCAGAGTACATGGAGAAGGGTTCTTTTCAGTAGAAGTAGTTTGGTAATGCTAAATTGATGATGAAATGTTCATCAGGGAGTATAGATTGGTTTTATGAAGTGTTGGATGAGGAAAGCTGTCATGATGAAGTTAGTGATCTTAGTGGTGATGTTGCAAGCCATTGTAAAATAGAAAGTAGCTAGTTCTAGAGTTGGTTAAAAGCTGGCTGAATTTCTTTGTTTACACATCATTTATTTTTGTTTTAAAGTTCTGATTTTACTTTGCAACTGAATAAAGTCTAAGTGTACACAGATTGTTTATGTACCTTTCCCCAAAGATTCTTGTTGTACGGATAGTGAAATTATGCACATTGAGATACATTTAGACAGTTTTCCTATATATGAACAGAACAATCTGTAAAATACCAGCTTTTTTGTGGAATAATTTTAGTTCTTATTGCAACTGATTGTATAGAATAAGATTTTTGCCACAAGTGCAGGTATCTTTGTTTATTATTCTGCATCTTTACTTAGTGTATGCTTAAAACTGAATACATGGAGGTGCCATACGATGCCACAGCTTAAAAACATTACTAGATGGATTTGTTAGGATTATATGTTACAGTTGGGACAGGATGTTCATTTCCTGGTTTTTGTATGCTATATGTTGTGTATCCTTTAAACTACATTCTTATGAAAACTCATGGCTTAATAAGTGAACACAAGGGGCTTATGTGAAGAGTTAATGTTAGCAATCGTTTGTGTAACAATGACTCTGTGAAACCTTGTGAATTATTACTGTGGATCAATTAAGAAATTAAAGCTTTGAAAAAATCTTCCAATTCATCTTGAGTTCTTAAGGTCTTTCCAAAAGCTTACATTGTTCAGTTCCAAATTCTATGTGGAATTAACTCTTCATTCAGTAAAACTCTCTTGGGAAAGAGAGGAGGTGAATTGCTAAGGGAAAATCAAAGTAGAATTTTTGACTGTTCTTAATTAGATTTTCAGAAATGTGAAGATTCAAGGAGTTACTTTCAAAATCCTCTGCAAATCATTGTATGTTAAACAGTTTATAAGCTCTACTGTTCCTTCTTAAAAACAGTGTCTGTTTGAGTTTATATGATGGAACATTTGAAGTGCACAGTCTGGCATAATGTAGAAGTCCAAGTGGCAATCATTCTGTTCATCTGGTGTATAAGTTGGATGTAAAAAAAACCCCATTGAATCCTGCATCATGAGAGGAGTTTGCAGTACCGTAATTCTTTGAAAGACTGTGAGAAGGTGTTGCAATGGTGGCTGTATTACAAGTTTTGTAATTCATGGATTTGAAATGTTTTGACAGGAACTGAGATGGTGCACTCCTGAAAAACGACATGATTGTACTACGCTGTTAAAATTGCTAAGCCTCCTGTTAATAAAACTGTGTTTCTGAAGATTCATGCTATCTATTTTTAATTGTCTGGTGTGTTTCAACAGCAGACTACTTTTGTTGAAAGGCCAATAAAAATTCTCTCCTCTGGGGGAAATCACCTGAATGATTGACATTTTCTACTTACATCTTAAGAAGTCTGCTTCTAATTATTGATTAGTTTGAAATATTCCAGTTATTTGCATATTGCTTCCTGGAAGAATTGAAATACTGGTTTGGATACAGTTTTCACATGAGGCACTGAGGTCCAGTGAAAACCCATGCTTGGAGAGAGGTGGCAAGGAGACAACCTTGACAGACATCCTCTTTTCCCTTTAGTCCTTTGTGTCATTTGATGTGCTGCTATGGGGTGTCTCTTAACTCCAAGAGCAGCCTTTCAGAAGACACAGGGTGGAAAAGGAAGGAGGAATTATGACTGTCTTCCTGCAGTGCAAATGGAAGTATGTTAAGTGGTACTCTGTATTCAGCCCATTAAAAAGTAGGATCTTCAGGCTGGACCAAAAGGTTTTGTGAATTAAAGGATCTCATCCACTCACAAAAGGTTTCCTCCATGAGTTGCATCTCCTATGAGCATAGGAGTGTTTTATTTGAAGAGTTGATTGAATGAAGAAAAAAAAAATGTAACTGAAATCTTGTTGCTTAGCCTTAGTTGCAGCTAGAGAGACAAATCTGCAGATTTAGTGAGTCAGTTTTTCCATAAGTTGCACTGATTCAGTGGTCCCCTTCTAATTGTGACTTACTACATTAAGCACCAGGATTTCAGCGAGTATCACTTATGACTTTAACTTCCTAACTCTTGAAAAGAATTCCAGCATTACCTTTTTTTGGTATGAAATGCAATTTGATTGCTGGTTTATGATTCTCTCTCCATGCAGTGGTTAATGTATGTCTTCTTTCTCCTCCATCTGTTTGAGATAGGATTACTAGCATATTTTTGCAGATATTCTAGAGATGTGCAAGAGTTGCCCTTGTATACATGTTCTTTCAGATTGTTCTATGCATTGTGTTGGAAATCCCATCTCATTTTTATCCTGTATACCTATTAAAAACATGTTAGAGGCAGGATGCATTTTTTTAAAAAAGATTATCTTTGCAGTTTGACAGGACCACGATAAACTAACAGGCAATACTCATTTGTTGAATTTAGATTTGGCAGTTGGTGTGTGCGTGCATGCAAGTACTTTTAGAAAATGTGGGTATTACAGTTTTCTTGGCACAATACAGGCTAAAATGAACTTTGTGTAAAAATTTTGATTAAATCAAAACCTGCCCTACAGAATTCTGCAAGCTGGTCATCAGTAGGTTGGATTCAATAAACTGCTTCTTGGAATAGTTTTTTGACACCTACATTCCTGCTGCAGTCTTCTGGAAAGCTATTGCGTAGATTATAGGATTCTCAGGAGCAGTGTTGACCAAAAATGGTTGAATCCACTTCGTTCATGCAAAAATATCTTCCTTTTTGCTGTTCAGTCCTTTAGATCCATATAGAGAATTGTTAGCTTTCCCTTTATCTATATTTTATTTAAGGGCATCTCATGTGCCATCCTTTGGTTTTGTTTCCTTTTAATTTGTTGTAAACACTTGGAAGGCTGACCTTTTAAACTGGAAAGCAGGTTGATGATCTTCACATGGGGACCCAAGGCAGAATACAAAAAAATTAAAATCAACTATTAATTTTAAAAAGTTGGGCAAGATTTAAAACTATAATATATGCATACTTAACATATTATTTAAAAGCTAAAAACATAAAATTTAAAAACATTCTGTTGGCCTACAGAAGAAAGTGAAGCAGAAGTGCAAGCCCAGATAGGTACAGTATGAGGTAGATAATACAGATTGCTGTCATCAAGAATTGTAATAAGAGGCATTTAAAGTTAACCCTTTTATAACTACATGGTGACTGAAAGCCTGGCACAATAAGTCACGCTAGAGTAAACTCATCTGATTCAATGAAACTTATGGAGGAAATGACTCACCAGATCCCTACTGGGTCTCCTTTAGCATGACTTTCTTTGCTAAGCAGTAGGATTCCAACCACTTTCTGTGAAATGCCATCTCTGAGATATTTGTTTCTGGTAGCATCAGGACTATTTCTTTTTCCTCAGCAGTTGTCTACAATGCCAAAATCCTGTTCTATAAGGTTTCTCAAATTATTGGAGCAGGTTTTTAGGCCACATGGAAGGCTTCAGAAGAAAAGGTGAGCAAGGCATTAAAATTACGCTTGCACACCATCAGGTTTTTACCTATTACTTCTCCAATATCTTTACGTCCACATTTTTAGTATATTGTCTGGTTTAATTTGTAAGGTGCTCTTTATTTTTAAATTATGCAGATTGAATCAGTTTGAAAAATGATTTGTGGCATATATGGAAGAGTAGGTCCTTTATAACTCTGTTTGTAGATGATTTCCATTATTGTAAACACAGGGATGCTTTTGAGGTTGATTTAAAATGTGTTATCTATCTCTAATGAGATTCTTAAAACAAATGTACTACTAATTAGACATTACCTGGAAGGTAAACACTATAGAAAATAGAGGCGTAATGAGTAAGCATGCACAGATTATGGATGAGGTTGTGCGTTATGTTTTTATAAAAGTATGTGTGTGCTCCAGAGAATATCTTAAGATAACAATAAAGGTAAAGGTTCCCCTTGACATTTTTAGTCCAGTGGTGTCCGACTCTAGGGGGTGGTGCTCATCCCATTTTTCAAGCCGTAGAGCCAGCGCTTGTCCGAAGACAAGTTTCCGTTGTAACGTGGCCAACGTGACTAAGGAACGCTGTTTTACCTTCCCACCGAGATGGTACCTATTTATCTACTCACATTTACATGCTTTCGAACTGCTAGGTTGGCAGGAGCTGGGATGAGTGACGGGAGCTCATTCCGTCGCATGGATTCAATCTTACGACTGCTGGTCTTCTGACCCTACAGCACAGGCTTCTGCGGTTTAGGCCGCAGCGCCACCACAATAGGAAGTATTAAAGTAAACCATTAGCAATTGTAGGCCAGGGTCCAGTGATATATTACTGGCTTGATACTATCTCTTACACTAGAATTGTGACTCCCTCTTTTAGTCTCCCCTTGCATCCTAAAAACTTGTTCCAGTGAGCTGGGAGGCACTCCAGACCACAGTTTTAGTCTCACACAACTGCAACAGGAATGGATATTTTAGTGTCACACAGCTGTAGCAAGAATGGGTGAGCACTGTTTTCAGTCACTAGATAAAGAAGTATACTTTTGGATCTTGGTCTTGACTGTTAAAGTACTGAAGTTAGGCAGTAGAGTTTTGCCAGTGATATTGCCATATGGCTTGAAAAGATAAAATTTCACCAGGATTCCTTGTTTGTAGGAGATCACTATATTCCTCTTACTGTTTTGTAGATTCAGA